CGTTGTGTTTCGCCGTGTGAGTGAGGTTACCGGAGGTCCAATCCTTCCCCACCCCCAATCCCTCCTCAATCCCTAATCCCTAAAACGGTCGGCAATGCACTCGTAACTCCTCCGCGCCATTGCGAGTGTCCATGGGTGGCGCTGATTACTTACCATCAGGTAATGCGTCTGCTCGTTTGCCGATCTATAACATAAAAAAAATACTAATATTATAAAGACATAAAATTTGTAAGTTTGTATGTAGGGGGTTATATTTGGAACCGCTGGTTGGATTTCCAAAATTCTTTCACTGATAGGTAGCTACAATGTTCCTTAGTGCTATACATACATAGGCTAAAAAATATCACGCTACGATTAAATGGAGCCGAGCAACGGGTGAAACCGCGTGAGAGTAGCTAGTCTACCTATGTATGTATATAAAAATGAATCGCGAAATATGTTGGTGAGTGCATAACTCAATAACGGCTGGAACAATTATCAGCTGGTTCTTTTTTGTTATGAGAAGGTTTTTACGAAAGAAAATAATAGAAAATTAAAGGGAATATCGGGAATCAACAATGGTTTCGGAGTCGTGGCCGTTCGCTTACAAAACAATTGACTGATAGTCATTTGTCATATAATGTTATTCAATTGACGACATTTTCAACAACGATAGTATTCAGTCTTCCTCTCCCGATACAGAGGCTCAATTTTTGAGTTGTGTACGTTTTTATAGTTTTTGCCGAAGTCCCAATCTTTATAAGGGGGCGTCCATAAATTACGAGAGGTGTTTAGGGGGGGGGGGGGGGGCGAGGGGGTCGAGTCAAATCTCATCTCAACTTACGTTGGAGAGAGGGGGCTCTCGGCAAATATCACACAATTTTTTTCTGATTGGAACAAACAAAAAATATACTATTTTGGTCTATTTAATCCAGATTGTACATGCTAAATCTTGCTCGAGTGTGAAGTGAGCGTCGAAGTGACGGGGAAATTACATTATAGAATGCCACTTTTAACGTCATCTCATACTTTATCCATCAAAATGTTGCGGTCAGTTTAGTTCGACTCGCAAGTGTAGCGCTAGTGTACTCACAGCGGATTAAAATTTGAAGTTTAGAATGAAGTCTGTGTAGCAGTGCGACGTGCAGGGCACTTAAAAGGCTGATGATGATGATACAGTGGAATTTAAATTGGACATCGTAACATCACGCCTTGTTGTGTAAGTAAATAAGTTATTATTTATTCAAATGTCTTAGACTAGTAAAATGCAGTTTCTATCGGCACCTTTGTCTAGGAGAACAAAGAAGGAACATCGTGAGGAATCTTCGTATTGTTATCTTCCATTAAACAATCAATACATAGTATAAAACAGAGTCGCTTTCTCTGTCCCTATATCCCTATGTATGCTTAAATCCGGTTTGAGCATTAATCACCACGCTTGCTCAAGGAGGATTGGCCATTTTTTTATGAGATAGGTCGGCAAACGAGCATACGGATTACCTGATGGTAAGCAATCAGCGCCGCCCATGGACACCCGCAACGGAAGTGTTACGAGTGCGTTGCCGTTGGTTTAGAGATTTGAGGATTGGGGGGGGGGGAGGGATAATTTAGGCCTCCGGTAACCTCACTCACACGGCGAAACACAACTCTATGGTTGTTTCACGCCGGTTTTTTTTTTAGGCCGTGATATCACTCACGTCGACCCGACCCATTAAGTCATAAGCCATAAGTCATAAGTCTGCTACAGTCTCCCAAAACCACTGCAACTCCTGTGGACCAGGATCTGCAATAGATACAACAATGAAGTCACCGGAACACTGCAGTCTGGCGCGTCCCAGGGACATTAACGACTGTCTTGGATCCTTGCATTTATACTTGTAACTTCTCGCTGTTCTGGGAGTCCATAGGTGGAGCTGATTGCTTACCACCAGATAATCCGTCTGCTCATTTGCCGCCCTATTTATAAAAGCGAAATGATATCAAAATAAAAATCAAAATAATTTATTCCAACTAAACCATAGATAGTTGCTTTTGAAACGTCGAAATAGAATAGTAGTCTGTCAGTCTGTTCGTCAGTGAAGCTAGGAGCTCGTCCGAAATTGTAGATTCGAATGGAGAAGATTGTGCAAGAAACTCCATCGTTACTCTTTTTAAATCAGTTTCACATACAGATTCCTTTTACAAACAGTTGGTTCAATTATGTGAGAACAGTGTAACATTAATATTTATTCAAATATAAAAATAAAGTAACTAATACACTATTTAGTGTACCTACACGAAGGTCGTTTGAGATACATAAAGGGTATTATTCCATTTTCATTTACTTGTTTTGTTTTTCTTTTTAATACAAGTAGATAAGATAAAAGAAACCGGACTACGGAAACATGATAGTAGGTATCTGAAGCTTGCTTTACTTTGAATATATTGACTCAGTTATTAGTTCTAAGAAAAAAGGAAATTCACATTCTTATTTGGTTTAGCAAAAGAAATATGTTAATTTATAGAATCAGGCGTTACTTTGCGGAAATCCAATACATTAAATGTTAGGAAAAATAATTAGTTTTAATTCCGCGACAAAAATCCAGGCTTGTTGCAGGATGCAATCCCATTCCTATGCAATCATGCATATGCACATGCAGCAAAGGTAACATGCATATGCACACATACACAAAACGGATAAACATGGCACGCAATCAAACCTATACTCGACACGTGTTTCGCCCCTCCACAGGGCATTCTCAGGAGATGTTGACTCGTCGAGCGCTCGTCGTGTCAACATCTCCTGAGGATATCGACATATGAAATCAATAGAATTTTAAGAAAATAATCATACAAATTACTATAAGTAGGTATACTTAAATATCAATTCGTATATTTTTTTATATAATAAAATAAGTACGGCAAACGCAATTAGTACCTAAGTACCCGATGGTAAGCAATCAGCGCCGCCTATGGACACTCGCTACAACAAAGGAGTTACGAGTGCATTGCCAGCCTTTTGAAGATTAGGGATTTGGAGATTTAGGGTTTGGGGTAGGAGAAGGATTGGGCCTCCGGTAACCTCAATCACACGGCGAAACACAACGCTGTGGTTGTTTCATGCCGGTTTTCTGTATCATTGCGGTGCGAGCCGACCGGAGTGATACCATCCGCACCGAAGGTTGGCTCTCCTACTTTCTCGCGTTGCGGATTTGGAGATATGGGGATTGGGGGAGGGGAAGGATTGGGCCTCCTGTAACCTCACTCATACGGCGAAACACAACGCTGTGGTTGTTTCATGCCGGTTTTCTGTATCATTGCGGTGCGAGCCGACCGGAGTGATACCATCCGCACCGAAGGTTGGCTCTCCTACTTTCTCGCGTTGCGGATTTGGAGATATGGGGATTGGGGGAGGGGAAGGATTGTGCCTTCGGTAACCTCACTCACACGGCGAAACACAACGACGCTGTGGTTGTTTCACGTCGGTTTTCTGGGGGGCCTTGGAATCACTCCGGTGTCGGTCGAGTCGACCCATTCGTGCCGAAGCATGGCTCTCCCACACTTTGAATTTGACCTATTGTCAAGTGTCTAGTTGCTGAGAGAGTAATCAGAATAAATAAGCATTTACATAAAATCGTACTTATGTCTTATGAAATGACGGACAGAGATAAATAATTGAATATTAATTACTTTATAAATTAACGATAGGTATCACGTGGAACCTGAAACGACGGGGTGATAAAAAAAACTGGCTTTTTTGTGAGAAGAAAACCACCAAATGACTTCTCCCGCCCAGGGTTAGGCGAGAGGGAGTGTCAGACTCTTACTGACTAAAAACCCCCAGTGCCTTCTACTGATCTTTTTTTTATGATAGCCGGGAGGAAGCTTCCAAAAGGCGCCTAGCTTTTGGGGAGAAATACAAGGGAGTGTTGGATTTTTACCTCACTAAAACGTCCATGGAGGCCACCATCATCACCTGTAAGGGGTCCTCTACAAGAGACCTGCTCCGGAGCCCCCACGGTGTAACACCTGTGACGGCACATCCCTCGATCCTTTTACGGATCTAGGCCGAGGCCGCGGTACTTAATTGCGTCATCAGACCACCACAGATAAGGACCACTAAGGCCGATGTTCGGCCGGATTTTCAGGTGCAAGGCAGTGATGAAGCTGGATAAGGAACGGGGTGATTTATAGTCAGTAACAGTCTAAAGGATTAGCAAACTGAAGTGGCAGTGGGCAGGTCACATCTGTCGAAGAACCGATGACCGCTGGAGTAAACGTGTTCTAGAGTGGAGACCACGTCTAGGCAAACGTAGTGTAGGGTGCCGTCCAGCTAGGTGGACTGACGACATCCGCAGGGCTGGCAGTGGTTGGATGAGAAGAGCTGAACATCGAGCTCAGTGGCGTGCAATTGGGGAGGCCTATGTCCAGCAGTGGACGACAACAGGCTGATGATGACAAGAGTCTGAAAATGCTCAAGAGTATGAATGATATCGATACTGCACGCTTGAGGTAGTAACTGGGCAACCGAATTCTGTGCAACGTGTCGAGGTTGCGATTCCCGCACGGAACAACTCTTTGTGTGATCCACAAATTGTTGTTCCGGGTCTGGGTGTGATGTGTCATGTGAAATTGTATGTTTGTAAACGCACCCACGAGGCAGGAGAAAATCCTAGTGTGTTATATAAAATTAATAAAAATGAATGACTAATTTTTATATTAAAGTGTGGGAGAGCCATGCTTCGGCACGAATGGGTCGGCTCTGCCCATAGAGAACTAAACCAGTGGTCGACCGGAGTGATACCACGGCCTCACAGAAAACGCGTGAAACAACCACAGCGTTGTGTTTTGCCGTGTGAGTGAGGTTACCGGAGGCCCAATCCTTCCTCAATCCCTAAATCTCCAAATCCCTAATTCCTAAAAGGTCGGCAACGCACTCGTAACTCCTCCGTTGAGGGTGTCCATGGGCGGCGCTGATTGCTTACCATCAGGTAATCCGTCTGCTCGTGTGCCGAACTATTACATAGAAAAAAATACTCTGTATTTCTTCATGTATGTACATATCGATGTATAACAAAAACTATATACCTAATCTAATATTTTCGCTGTAAACGATGGTCCTATTGTATTTCGTGAGTCATATCTAGGTAGGTACTTGTGATAATGATAACAGCAGGTGATAACACTGATAAACTAAGTCGCCATCTTGCATTTCAGTATTCCGTTTACTACGAAGCGTTGTTAATGTGTTAAAAAGTTATTTAAAATATAAAAAAATAGTGATTAATGTTTTAATTAATTGAGAAGACGGAGAAAGAAGGTAAATAGTTAATATATTTTGTAACAAAGAAGTATTTTAAAGGCTTTTTGTTTGTGTTTTTCTGTTGTGTCCAATTTAGGTCATATTCTAAAAATGTGTGTGAAAATTTATCAATATTTGTTTAGAGGTTTTTGAGTATACGACGAGACAAATACACTGTTCTTTAATTTTTGAGTTTAAATAGTTGTAGGTGAGAGTTTAATTATATAAGTGGGATTGTTAATGTATATAAAAAAGAAAATTGATATGTTAAATGTTTGACAGAGGGCAGACAAAATATGTTTTAGACAAAAAATAAATTAGTTAATAAAAATTGGAAATCAATTAAAGAATCGTAGGGAATGTTGGACTGGGCATAGATACATTTTTTTTTTGATACATACACTACACTCTACTCTAAAGAAAAATGAAAGAAACACAATATATTACAGACAGTTTTCAATAAAATTGTTTTATTGCGATACTTTATCAGAATCTATCGGTAGAGGAGTCCGATTTGAAAACCCTTTTTGCAGGTTGCTATTTAGATTTAGTATCTAAGCTAGCCTATGCAGACCTATAGAAATCATGCTATGGATATTCACATCTGAGATACACTTGTGTGTCGCGACAGAAAGTACATACATTTATAAAACTGGGCGTTCTATGTGACGGTCCACTTTACGACGCGACACGCTAGTTTGTTTCCAACCATAGTAAAATGTATCAAAGCGTTGGATTTCTGGTTCGAAACGACATACCAGGGGCCCGAGTCCACTATTTTCAAAGTGTTGTCATTCCTACACGATTCCATTGTCAATTTGCTAAAAGTTCGTAATCTGTTAATTCAAAATGGCTGATCATTAGCGTTCGGCGACGTCGTAATATAATTATAGTACGAGATGTCTTGTAACGAATTATAAACAACAACTGCACATTAATATTCTAAACGTAAATAATTAAATAAAGGAACTGACATTTTTTTTTATTAATTTACCGCTTTATGTCAAATATTTATTTGTTATTATGTACGAGATTACCGTTCTAAAGAATTATTTCAATTGGTTGGTGTCAGGAGATTACCAAACTTGTCAAAATCAACAATTTTGAAACCAATGATCTACTATTCTGACACCATTGTAATAGCAGACTCGAGGCCCTGGACTCAGTAATATATTTTCGCTGTAGGACTACAGAAATCGAGGTGATTTTACTACCTTCATTAGGTTGCAATCTTGCAACTATTCAAAATACCTAAAATCTTAGATGATAGCAAAAATATTCAGTTATTTTAATAAATCTTTACGCTTATGCTGAATTAGTAGGTAGTAGCGTATCTCATGCTAAAAAATAGTGACATTTTCTATTCTGTGAATAGAAATGTGTACTAGGTTACACCTTATCTGACAGATAAGGTATCCGATACAATCGAAATAGCTTGTATTCCAACATGTTCCAATGATAAAATTCCCAGAAATGTAGCTACTTTGGACAGTCAACCTCGCTACATCCTTGTTGACTGGACATCTACACTACATGAGCTGCTGTTTACATGTGAACATTAGCTCATGACGATACCTAAGTACGTGTGTCGCCTGGACAGTCAACCTCGCTACATCCTTGTTGACTGGACATCTACACTACATGAGCTGCTGTTTACATGAGAACATTAGCTCATGACGATACCTAAGTACGTGTGTCGCCTGGACAGTCAACCTCGCTACATCCTTGTTGACTGGACATCTACACTACATGAGCTGCTGTTTACATGAGAACATTAGCTCATGACGATACCTAAGTACGTGTGTCGCCTGGACAGTCAACCTCGCTACATCCTTGTGAACATCGGCATATTTGAGTTATATAAATATAAAAATAGGTTCAATATGTATGGAAACTACTGATTGTATTGTTTTATCTTTAAGCTCGTATGATAAAGTATCAGTAACGTCTTATAACAGTTTGTCATTGATATTTTTATATTATTTCACAGGAAACATGAGTCGGCGCATGCTAGCGTGTGTCATTGTGGGTTTTCTTGCAGTTGCAGTGACCTGTGATGAAGGTAAGTAGCGCCATCTATTGTGGAATAGATTAACGTAGAATCCAAACTAAATCTATCTTTAATAGAATTTATTATTCAGAATACTGGCAAAACAAACAAATACGATAAAGTAAAGATGAACTAACTATTTGGTTGTCACTAACATTTAATGTTGAAAACTTTAGACAGCGCCATCTAGTATCGAGCAGCACTACTAACAGTTAAATATTTTTCAGCAACAAATGCTACTGATGTTGTTGCTACTACCACACGGAAACCAATCCCTTATCAAGATTCAAACATCTGCAAACTGTGCAAATGTGAGGACACCAAAGTAGACTGCTATGATCAGAGCATCACGACTTTCTTCACGAAGAAGGAATGGGAAGGTAATACAAACAAATTATAGGTACAATAGGAACAACTCATAACCTCTATCATACAAAGTCAAACTTAAGGTTTAAATAGATTTTGGACTTTATATTTATTTAAAATAAGGTTGAAAACAATATAAACTAATTAATGTCAGTTGAAGATTGCTTATGTACCGCCATCTACCGACTCCTTGGAAAACTAAAAATATTGGCGTTATGTTTTCACTATGAAAGACAAAGCATTCCGTTTAACAATTTGAATGCTAATGACATATAATATTCAATATCAAATTTAAAGCATTTTTATCATTATAAAATTTAATTTTAAATAACCACAGATTTAGGTAAATTATAATAATACTAGCTACTCTCGCGGTTTCACCCGCTGCTTGGCTCAATTTGATCGTAGCGTTATGTTTTATAGCCTCAGGAACATTGTAGCTATATATCAGTGAAAGAATTTTGGCAATCCGACCAGCGGTTTCAAAGATTACCCCCTACATACAAACTTACAAATTTTACCTCTTTATAATATTAGTATAGATTTCATTTCGTTTCTCCTTGCTTTTTTAAAGAACCAAATGTATGTGATATTAGATCAATGGGGTTTTTATTGGATCAGGTATATTAGAGAGATCACCCACTGGTAAGCAAACAGCTATGCCCGCAGAAGATCAGAAGTCAAATCCATTGCCAGCCCATGGGGGTTAAGTTAGGGATTTGGGGACTGTGGGAATTGTACATTTATAATATTAGTAGGATATTTTATTTACGTAATAGGTCGGCAAACGAGCAGCCGGATTACCTGATGGTAAGCAATCGGTGCCGCCCATGGACACCCGCAATAACAGAGGAGTTACGAGTGCGCTGCCGACCTTTTGGGTTGCGGATATAAGGATCGGGAAGCGATAGGGGAGGAGGAGGGATTGGGCCTCCGGTAACCTCACTCACACGGCGAAACACAAGGCTGTAGTTGTTTCACGCCGGTATTCTGTAAGGCCGTGGTATAACACCGGTCGAGCCGACCCATTCGTGCCGAAGCATGGCTCTCCCACACTTATATATATATATTATACATATTAACGTTAATCCATTTTTCTTTCAGACATAATCGACTTAAAACCATCAACAGTGGATTTGAGCGAAAATCGCTTCGTTAACATCACAGTGATAGCTGATTTGACTATAGAAGTGCTAAATTTGTCTCGATGCAACATCGAGTTTATTGAAAATGGCAGTTTTCGGGATTTGCAAGAGATGAGAGTGCTAGATTTGAGCCACAACAAGCTTACATCAAGCAATCTGAGCCCACACGCTTTTGAGGTACCGTGGAACAGTGTTATAGTTTTAGTTTTATGTTATATTAAATTTTTGAGGTTAATCGTCAAGCAAGGCTATACAGTTTTGTTTTATTTCCGTCTTTAAAAACTGTTGCTTTTAAGCGCTATTGCCTTATTTGTGAGGGGACAGTCATCAAATGATTTCTCTCGGGAGGGAGTGTCAGACTCTTAGTGACTAAAACCCCCCCGTTCCTTCTCCTACTCTGGGCTAAGGCCGCGGTGACTTATTGCGCTTGCCCCGCAACCCCGGCTAAAAGCGCTATTGTCCAGCGAAAGTTCCGATTTATCCCTTGTCGAAAAACGGCTCATTATTGTGCTTGCATCCGAAACCCTAGTTGGACTATACTAGGATCACCGATGAGATTAAGCGCTTTTGGTCATATGCCAATAAATGAAAATGTATTCTTTAAAAGTAATATGCTCCTAGCTAATGCCGCGCAATTTCACCCGCTACACGGCTCGTTGCAGTGATGTTTTATAGCCTATAGCACTTAGGTACATTGTAGCTATCTATCAGTGAACGAATTTTGGCAATCCGACCAACGGTTCCAAAGATTACCCCCTACATACAGACTTGCAAATATTACCCCTTTATAATATTACTATAGACTAATGGACTTTGATTATAAACCTTTTCATTTAATCAAAGGTCTAGTACTCTATATCCTTGCTATCGTAATCAGTGATAAGGCAATCACGTTATAAAACAGTATAATAACACGGTTTTTAACCGTAGATAACCGTGCCTTTTTGGAATTGGGTTTTTATGTAATAGGTCGGCAAACGAGCAGACGGATTACCTGATGGTAAGCAATCAGTGCCGACCATGGACACCCGCAACGGAGGAATTTCGTTGCCGACCTTTTAGGGATTAGGGATTGGGGGAGAGGACGGATTGGGTCTCCGGTAACCTCACTCACACGGCGAAACACAACGCTGTGCTTGTTTCACGCCGGTTTTCTGTGAGGCCGCGGTATCACTCCGGTCGAGCCGAAGCTTGGCTCTCTACACTTAAATAATAATTTGGGGATTAATCATTTTTGAAATGGGAAAATCCAATAAGGCATTTTGTTGATTTCCCTTCTTAAAATTACTCGAGCTCAGTTTTTAGTCGAGTTTTATTCAATGCATGGAAATTTTCTTGTAGTTTATAATTAGCATGTTCAAAATGATAAATTTTGGTACTTTATACAAAAAAACAAACATGTTTTTTAAGTCATTCGAATGCATGTTGCACTCCTACTAAGTACAAAAATTGAAGATCATAAAAAATTCTGTAAAATTTGAATCGGAACTTTTAAAAAAATATGTTTTTTTTTTGTGTAAACGGCAAACGAGCAGGCGGATTACTTGATGGTAAGCAATCGGCGCCGCCCATAGACACCCGCAACACCAAAGAAGTCACGAGTGAGTTGCCGACCTCTTGGGGATAGGGGTTGCGGATATAAGGATCTGGAAGGGATAGGGATTAGGCCGTATGTTGACTCAAAGTTACTAGGATTTTCTCCTATGTCGTGGGTGGTGTTTCAACTTCACATACACATCACTCTCAGACCCGGAACAATAATCTGTGGATCACACAAAGAGTTTGTTTCGTTCAGGATTCGAACCCGAAATTTTGCGCGGCAGCCAGCTACTGCGCCATACCTTTACCAAATATTTGACATTGGAAAGGATGGACTATACATATTCTAAAATTTTAAATAATGAGAAGCTTATGAAAAATTTGCTGTGGATTTAGATTTCATATTATTATGAGTAACAAGCGACGATTGTGTGTCCACTTAAACTGGCGTGGTTCTTTCCTCAAAAGACCACTACAGAATGAACTTGCACGGTTCTCTTTCCTCAAAAGACCACTACAGAATGAACTTGCACGGTTCTCTCACATTATGTTATTTTTACATTGTCTGGACTTGAAAAGAGAATGACCTCTGAGTTTGTTTCGGCATTACTTCTCAGAGTAGTCAGATAGGAAATGCCGGCTTCATCTAGTTTTTTACATATAAATTGACGTGTAAAAGTGCCGTTTTATGGCCTATTTGCAAAAATAAATTCATTGTTTCATTGATTAATAATAACTTTATTTTTATTTCACAGGGTCGTTTCGCTCCCGAAGAATATGAACCCTTGGCGTCGATGAGAATTCTGAATTTGGCCTACAATGATCTTCATTCCCTGAACCAAGATCTATTCGAACATATGCCAGAGTTAGAAGAGCTAGACTTGAGTGGAAATCCTTTGACAACCATAGACCATGTTACGCTGGTCGCTATTTCCAGTTTGCCGATGTTAAAGGTTAGTGACATCTAGTGTTCAGTAGCGTAAACTGATAAAATTGTTAATTACTATTTTATACAGTACAGGACAAAATTATTAAAGCCGAGATGAATTTTATCACGTTGATTTTGTTGTCTGTTTATTTAATTTGATTTGTACAAAATATTTTTAATTATATCTACTTGACAATAGATGGCGCTGCTCTTACATTTCTCGTATTATTATAGGTTTTAAGAATGCGTTCTTGTGAATTGGATGAGATTCCAAGCAAATTCCTGCATACGCCACTCTATTTGGAGAATTTGGACCTCAGTGACAACAAGCTGACAGCTGTCCCACAAGAATTAGAAGAAGCTAAAAATTTGGTCTACTTGAATTTGAACCAGAACCCGATTTCGCAACTTGACATGAACTCCGAGGACAATCCGTAAGTATCATTTTCATCCCTCCAGGGCAGGAGAAGAAAATTGATGATATTCCACCCTTAAAAAACTTGCCTACCCATCCCAATTTCCCAATCTCCAACCCTGAAACTCCTAGTCCCAAAAAGATGGCACCGCACTTGTAGCTTTGGTGTTGCGACTGTCCTTTTTCGGCGCCGATTGCTTACCATTAGGTCATCCAATTGATCATTCGTTCCTTCCCCCCTGTTGCTTCTCCTGCTCTGGGCCGAGGTCGCGGTGCCTCATTGCGTTTACTCCGCAACCCCGTCTGAACATCAGCCCTATAGGGGGTCAGTGGTGGTCTATTGGCTCTTTGAGGCGCCCGCGGAACGCTACGCGCCGTACGCTCGGGTCTGGTTCTGCCCGGGCGGCGAGTTGCCCTTACACGCCATCCGCAGACCCGCGCTTAAGGTGGCGGGAGATCATCTCTAGCCGCCTTAAGCCCTAAAAAGAATATGGCCTATCCACAATCATAAAAATATCTCATTTATTACACTGACTTTATTTTATTTCATTCCCCAGTGGTTTCCCTCGACTTCGCAAACTGAAAGAGCTGCATATGTGCAATATGCCAAAATTGAGGAGCATTGGTCCGAAGGCTCTAGCCGGACTCGAGAGCGTCGAAAAACTCCACATTAGCTTCAACCCATCTTTGAGTTACCTGGACCCTAAGGCCCTGGCTCGGCCTGATGATATCGGGGAGACCTTCGACTGGCCTTTGGTTAAGGAGGTATGAAATAAGGTTATTTTTTTGCGAAACTTCCTACCTCGCCCAGCAAAACTTTGGAATGATCTTTCGGTGGCGGTATTTCCGAACCGATACGACCTTCAAACCTTCAAGAAACAAGCGTAATCCTTCTTCAAAGGCCGTCAACGCACCTGTGACTCCTCTGGTGCTGCAGGTATCCATGGGCGTCGCTGAACACTTACCATCAGGTGACCAGTCTGCTCGTTTGCCTCCTATTCCATTAAAGAACATATTTAATCGTCATTGACATCATCAGCAGCCATTTCTGGACGATGTACCTTCCTTTTATTATATGATTAATAAGAGCTCTTCCAGCTTAAATACCTTTAAGGCCAACCGATAAAGAAGGCCTACCTTCGACTTTAACGGTTATGGGAGGATCTTGTGTTTGATATGATGGGTGGTTTTTATATGATATGATGCCTCCACACCAGTGTATGTTCCTGTATCTTGGGTGCGATTAAAATACAACAGCACTAAACCAGAAATTCGTAGATCACACAACGGTTGTTCCAATTTTAAGAAGCCAAATCACAAAAAATCCATCCAAACATTTTTGACACTGACTCCTACTTTATTTTCCAGCTCTATTTGAAATCCAACAACTTATCAGAAGTGGACAGCCGTCTTCTCTCACGTTGGGACCTGCTGGAGAAGGTGGATGTGTCTGACAATCCTTACCTCTGCGACTGTTCCACTCAATGGATGGTAGATGTCCTGGCTCCTATTGTTGACAGCAAAGGTTCTAATGCTACTTTTATGGTGTAAGTAGACTTTGCTTTTTACTTCATCATCAGCCTTTAAGTGCCCACTGCTGAGCAAAGGCCTCTTCTCAGATTGAGAAAGTTTGTACCACACTAGTATTCTCTCTCCTGTGTCGTGGGTGCGTTTAGAAACATACAAATTCACAAACGCATCACATCGACCCGAAACAACAATTTCTTGGATAACACAAATTGTGTTTCACGCGGGAATTGAACACGTGACACGTTACACATCAGCCAGCTGTCCGGTTATTCCATCAACCGTGCAGTAAAATGTCAATTTAAAGTTTACAAAGTCAGAATTGAAATCGTACTAATATTATAAATGCGAAAGTAACGATGTTTGGATGTTTGTTACTCATTCACGCCAAAACTGCTGGACGGATCTGGATGAAATTTGGCACAGGCATAGAAACAACAACACACTCTGGAATAGGACATAGTCTACTTTTTATCAAAATACCACGCGGGCGAAGCCGCGCTCGGAAGCTATTTAATGATAAACCAATCCTTTTCAGATGTCAAGAACCTATTGAGATGCGAGGCCATACTATGAAAGACCTACATGATTCTCACAGGACCATGCGCTGCGTCGACAAATATGGTCACAGACCCGAGAAAGATGGCGCTATCCTGCTCGGCACTCTTATTGGTAAGGACAATGATAATTCGATAGTTTCGAACTAGTGACAAAAAATGATGTAACAAAGAAATGGATTGTGAAACTGATTTAAAAAAAAAGAGTAACCATGGAGTTTCTTGCTCGTACTTCTCCATAGGAATCTACACTTTGGAACGAGCGGATAGCTTCACTAGAGGACTGACCGACAGACTGACACACGAAGTTGACCTTTTTGTTTTTTTTTTTGAGTTTGACGTTCAAAAATGCCTATAGAGGTATACCTATAAATGTTTTTTTTATGTAATAGGTCGGCAAACGAGCAGATGGATTACCTGATGGTGCTTACCATTGACCCCCGTAACAGAAGAGTTACGAGTGCGTTGCCGACCTTTTAGGGATAAGGAATTTGGAGATTAAGGGATTGAGGAGGGATTGGGGGAGGGGAAGGATTGGGCCTCCGGTAACATTACTCACACGGCGAAATACAACGCTGTGGTTGTTTTACGCCGCTTTTCTGTGAGGCCGTGGTATTACTCCGGTCGAGCCGACCCATTCATGCTGAAACATGGCTCTCCCATACTTAAACTTCACTTCTTAGTAAAACTGATTACTTTCATTGCAGTGTCAAAAACTATACCTACTTTTCTATAAATTTTGTATGAAATTACGAAGCATGATGGGAAGTAAGCAATCAGCGTCGCCTATGCCTCGCCATTCCAATTTCGTTGCCAGTCTTTGAGGATTGGAATAAAGTATTGAGGGGGTAGGAGGGATAACATTTGGGACCCTGATAACCTCAGGTACACACGGCGAAATACAACGCAAATAAGTGCTGTTTCACGCCAGATTTCTGTGAAGCCGTGGTATCAATCCGTTCGAACCAGCCAAAAGTATGGTTTTCTATCACTTTAACATTATGTCTTTTGCTTTTCCAGGAGTTCTTCTAGCAGTTCCAATCATGTTGAGCTTGATGCTGCTCTGGCGTCGTGGTTACTTCGCCTGGCTAGGCCTTCGCCCTCCTCAAGACGTCTCTAGGGCTTTCTACAAGAGAGCACCCGCCGATGACATCCTTTACTAAGTCTTTGGCTCTTAGACTATCATCTTTTGTAAATGATAGTCAAAGAGTCCAATCCAAAAGTGTGTTACCATCTTTTTTTTGTATTTAATTTTAGATTTTATATGTGTTAATTAAATTAATTAAGTAATAATTAAATATTTTTTTGTTAAGTATTAGTGTAGTTTTTTTTAAGTGTTGTATTTGTATGTCATCGTAGTTGCCCGAAGGTAAAGGCAGCCGCTCCTCATAGCCGGGGTTGCAGAGTAAACGCAATGAGGCACCTCGACCTCGGCCCAGAGCAGGAGAAGGAACAGGGGGGTTTTTAGTCAGTAAGAGTCGGACACTCTCTCCCGTCACAAGTCATTTGATGATTTTCCCCTCACAAAAAAAGGCCGCTTCTCATGAATGAAGAGATAGGTTCAAAACCTGGAAAAATTACTACATATGTGAACTTTGCCGAAAACAGGATGTTACAAAGAAAATAATTGTGAAACTGATTTAAAAAGAGTAACCATGGAGTTTTTTGCTCGTTCTTCGCCATCGACATCTACACTACTACGGTGAAGGAAAACATATTTATGAATGATAGTGTATGTAATGTAGAGATGAATGGTAGTGTAGATGTAGAAACTTTTTGTTTATTCCATTTTTGTCGTAGACTGAAGAATGATCAAAATAACTGATTGATAAAGAGACTGATTTAAAAAATGTCATGTATTAATTTTATTTCGGTGAGGCAGTGGCTGGGCGTTAGGCTGTAGATCACTGACTTACGGGATCGATTCCCACATGGAACAAATATAGTATGATCCAGAAATTGTTATTCTGGGCCGGGATGTGATGCCTAATGACCTTTATATAAAAAAGGCTAAATGTTTTGTGAAATAAAAATTTAAACATTGTCTTGTTCAAAGTCAAAGTTAAAATCATTTATTCCAACTAAACCTGACGTCACTACTTTTAAAACAACAAAATAAAATAAAAGTCTGTCAGTCAAATCGGCAGTGAAGATAGGGCTCGTTTTTAAGTGTAGTCCCGGTTTGAAACCCAGCATTTGTACGCCATTCAACAATTTGTACGCCACGACACGCAGCTGAACCTGTTTGAACTTTCTTTTCTACTGTAATATCTTGCATGCAATGTATGTATACCATGTTTAAACAAATAAATATACTTACTTACTTACTCGTTCCAAAGTGTAGATTCGAATGGAGAAGACTTACCTACAACTTTTTTTATGTAAAGGTCGGCGAACGATTAGCAACGACGAGTTGGGAGTGGGTTGCCGACCTTTTTGGGATTGGGGTAGTTCTTCTTTTATGGGATCGGTCTGAAAATGAGCAGAGGGAGTACCAGGTGATAGGCAATCGGCGCCGCTCATGGGCACCCGTAACACCAAAGGAGTTACGAGTGCGTTGCTGGCTCTTTGGGGATAAAGGTTTCGGATATTTGAAGATTGGGAAGGTATGTGGAAAAGCGGAGGGATTGGGCCTCCGATACCATCGCTATGGTTGTCTCAAGCCGGTTTTCTGTTAATCCGTGGTGTCCGATCGAGCCGACCCATTCGTGACGAATTATGGCTTCCTACAATATATGTACAAAAAACATCGGTCAAATTGGCGGCAATTATGTTTAGGTGTTTTGGTGGCCCAGCAGTGTGATTCTGTAAGACTTCATTCTAAACTTCGAATCTGAATCCGTTGTGAGTAGTAGTACACTAGCGCTACACTTGCGAGTTGAACTAAATTGACAGCAACATTTTGATAGATAAAGTATGAGATGACGTTAAAAGTGGCATTCAAAAATTTAATTTCCCCGTCACTTCGACGCTCACTTCACACTCGAACACGATTCAAAATCAAACAAATTTTATAGAATCGACGTGCAGAGGTTAAGGCGCCCGCTTCTCGTGAATGAGGGCGCGGGTTTGAAACCTGGCAAGTACCAATGTGACTTTTTCCTACTACTTATTTACTTTCTATGATTATTTAGACACCACTGACAAACGGTGACAGAAAACATCGTGAGGAAACCTGGACTTGTAATTTCTAATAATAAGTTTTAAATCGCCAACCCGCCTTGAGCAAGCGTGGTGATTAATGCTCAAATCTTCTCCGTGTCAGAAGAGGCCTTTGCTCAGCAGTGGGCACTTATAGGCTGATGATGATGATGATGATGACAGGTTTGGCATACATTTGTGCACTGTAATTTCTCGTGCGGTATATTATCTAGTTCAGATTGACCAATTATCGATATCGATAGCAGTTTTACGCAATCCTATCGAATTTTTTATCTTTACGTGATGTATGTAGGCAATTAATCATTAAAATGGTACTGCAGATGTTATGACTCATCTTACGAATATTTAAAGAAATTAACAAAAAAATATTAATTTAAAAATGTTATCCTTTTGTTTGAAAGATTTATTTGAAGAAAAGAAAATTAGGTACAACTTAAATATATGGAAAAGTATGCACGGCGCAAAAAGGCCAAGTGCTCAGCTAAAATGCCGTGACCCGAGAATGGTCGTTTGGTCGTTTGGTCGTTTCATTGTTGATAGTAATCTGTATTTTTTAATTGAGTGATGGCAAAGAAGCAGAGATATTCCCTGGTGGTAATCAATCAGCGCCATCTATAGACATCTGCAACATTGGAGGAGTCACTTTGCTAGCCTTTTACAACTTTGAGATTGGGGCCATGCGCTAAGGCCCAAGGGTTGCCTTGGTTCCTTGGTAGGGCCTTTTGGGATTTGGAAGGGAGAAGAGAAGGGCCCTCAGTAACCTCACTCACACAGCAAAGCACTATAAAATCGTTCACTCCAGCATTCCGCGAGTTTGTGTCATCATTCCGGTCGATCTGAATCATTTCTGCCAAAGCATAGCTATAAAAATGATTGTATTGACAGGCATTCGGTAGTTTTTAAAGCAAATACACAGACAGAAAGACGACAGACACAAGATAAGGTAACTTTTTTTTATGTAATATACCGGGAAACGAACAGACACATGATGGTAAGCAATCAGCGCCGCCCATGGACACCCGTAACAGAGTACTTATGAGTGCGTTTCCAACCTTTTGGGGATTAGGGAATTTGGAGATTTAAGGATTGGGGGAGGGGAAGGATTTGGCCTCCGGTAACCTCACTCACACGGCAAAACACAACGCTGTGGTTGTTTCACGCCGGTTTTCTGTGAAGCCGTGGTAACACTACGGTCGAGCCGACCCATTCGTGCCGAAGCATGGCTCTCCCACACATAATCTTAATTTATAATCTTCATTTTCTTATAAAAATTACAAACACATGTATATTTGAGATACCTACCTATTTAATATGTATTACACAAAAGATATCTAATCTTTGGTATTCAGTTCCGGAATTCTTATTATATTTCCTAGTAAAGCAATCTTTGTGTAATGTATGAATCACAACCTAACTTCCTTTTAAGTTTAGCTAATGACTGTTACAAATACGTAAATAATAACATCATCATCATAATCATAATTATAATCATCATCAACCCTTTTCCGACTACTGCCTTTTTCTGAGGGGGGAAACGTCATCTCATGAGCTTTCGTCCAAGGTATGTCGAGAAGAGTCAGTCTTACTGCCTTAAAAATACTTCCGTTGCTTCTCCTTTTTAGTGAGGGGATAATCAGGAAATGTCTTTTCCCACCCAAGGTTGGGTGGGAGGGAGTGTCAGACTCTTACTGACTAAAAACACCCCCGTTCCTTTTCCTGCTCTAGGCCGAGGTCGCGGTGCCTCATTGCGCTTACCCCGCAACCCCGGCTGAACATCAGCCCTATAGGGTCCCGACTGTGGTGGTCTATTGCGAGCGCAGAACGCTACGGCCGTCCGCTTGGGTCTGGTTCTGGTCGGGCGGCGAGCTACCCTTACTCGCCGTCCGCAGACCCGTGCTTACGGCGGCAAAAATCGTCTCTTGACGGCAGCCTGCCCTGCAACCCGGGCTGAACTCCAGCCCTGTCAGGCCCCATCTGTAATGATCTAATGAATCTTAGAGGTAAGCCCGGGACGCTATACGCTTGGGTTTGGTTCCGGTGGGAAGGTGACTGCACGATTGGTGCGGTGGCTGGGCAACTGGCTGCTGCGCAACGTGTCGCGGGTTCGATTCCCACACGGAACAACTCTTTGTGTGATTTACAAATTGTTGTTCCGGGTCTGGGTGTCATGTGTGTGTGAAATTGTATGTTTGTAACCGCACCCACGCACGACACAGGAGAAAATCCTAATCTGGGGCAACGTTTTATAAATCAAAAGAAAAGGATGGTGAGATTATTATCCTTGATCGTTGTCTGCAGACCGCTGACTGTGGCTTTCAAGCGTACTCCGGTAACCTCACTCCTACGGCGAAACAGCGTTAATGGTGATTCATGCCGATTTTCTGTGAGGCCATGGTATCACTCCGGTCTAGTCGGCCCATTCGTGTTGACTCTCCCAGACTAGAAACTCATTTCGGTTGAAGCATGGTGAACTAAGCACCGAATCCTAGACAACACGTTAAGCAGTCGTGCTAACAACCAGACCCAGTGGAAAACTTATGTAACAAACAAAACGCCTAGTACACAGAAATTGATATCACAAAATTTTATTGATAAAATTTTATCAATGATTGATCAATCGAGCTAATTACATGAGAGACCTAAATATACTATTTTAGCGCACAACTTCGTCTACATTGGCCTTCTTTAACAGTTCAATGAAATTATTTATTGCACACATAAGTATAGACAGATGGTACAGATAATAGGTCTTTACCTATGAAATTGCCGTTTTGCATGAAAAAATTTAAACGAATTTTTTGATTTGAAATTGAAAATGTAACACTAATCAATAAACATATGACTACTTTTGGAAAAAAAATCCTATGTTTTTAAAACAAAATTAATAAGCCTTACCCCCGGTTTCCGAAAGGCCGATCAATGTTAAAATCAATTTAATCTCTTGTCAAGTCATCTGATTGGTTGACTGAATTATCAACAACCAATCAGATGACTTGACAAGAGATTTAACAGGAGATTAGTTAATTTTAGCGTTGACAAGCCTTTCAGAAACCGGGTGTCAGCCTAACAAAAACTATTTTGATTTGAAATGGCCAGTACTGCAGAACGGCAATTTCATAGGTAAAGACCTATTATTTTTAATAAGGACTGCACGGTTGGCGCGGTGGCTTGGCAACTGACTGCTGTGCAACGTGTCGCGTCTTCGATTCCCGCACGGAACAACTCTTTGTGTGATCCACAAATTGTTGTTCCGAGTCTGGGTGCGATGTGTATGTGGGAAAGTATGTTTGTAAACGCACCCACGACACAGCACAGGAGATAATTCTAGTGTGGGGCAACGTTTTTTAAAAAACATTTTTTTGCTTTTTTTTATGTAATAGTTCGGCAAACGAGCAGACGGATTACCTGATGGTAAGCAATCAGCGCCGCCCATGGACTCCCGCAACGGAGAAGTTACGAGTGCGTTGCCGATCTTTTAGGGATAAGAGATTTGGAGACTCAGGCATTGAGGAGGGATTGGCTGAGGGGAAGGATTGGGCCTCTGGTAACCTCACTCACACGGCGAAACACAACGCTGTGGTTGTTTCACGCCGGTTTTCTGTAAGGCCGTGGTATCACTCCGGTCGAGCCGACCCATTCATGCCGAAGCATGGCTCTCCCACACTTAAGCTGCAAACACTGGCTATTCCATAGAAATTACCTTTCAAATAGATATGTCCGTCTGTCTGTCTGTTGAAGTAATGGAATATCCGCTAATGTTTAACCCCAATTGTAAGTAGATATATGTATATCTGAGAAATAAATATATAAAGTTTTATCACGATTGACTGATTTTCATAAATTCGTTGGTTTATCTGAAGATAACATATCGGTGATAGAAAGATTAAGAATACAGAGCGGTCGCTATTCACGTGATGTTTTTATGCCTACGGAAAGTCACGTGTGAATGCTATCATTCACACGTGACTTTAACTTTAACCCAAATTAATATAATTATTTTATTTTTTGTGTGTGAGAGAGGTAAGCTTAGGCACTAATGGGTCATCCGGCCACCGTAAACGCGGGTCTGCGGACGGCGAATAAGGGTTGTTCGCCGCCTGACCATATCCAGACGCCAGCGGACGGCGCGTGCCTAAAAGAGCCATTAAACCATCACAGACGGGGTTCTTAAGGGTTGATGTTCAGCCGGGGCCTCAGCCCAGAGCAGGAGAAGGAATGGGGGATTTTCAGTCAGTAAGAGTGGCGCTCTCTCTCGCCTTACCCTGGGCTGGAAAGGTCACTTGAATGGTCAATGATTTTCCCCTGACAAAAAAAAAGGCACGAATGGGTCGGTTCGACTGGAGTTATACCACGGCCTCACTGAAAATCAACGTAAAACAACCAGCGCATTGTGTTTAACTGTGAGATTGAGGTTACTGGAAGCCTAATCCTTACTCTCCCCCAATCCGTCACTAATTCCTAAATATCCGGAATTCTAATCCCTCTGGTGTAACAAGACAAGATGGTAAGCAGTTGTCCATGAGGGCGCCGATTGCTTACCATCAGGTAATCCATATACGACTTTGCCGACATATCACATAACAGCACACAGTGTTATGTTTCACCGTGTGAATAAGATTACCGGAGGCCCTATTCTTCCAATCCCTAAATCTCCAAATATGTAATCCCTAAAAAGTCGACAACGCACTCGTAACTCCTCTACTGTTACAAGTGTAGGGCCTCCTGGGCGGCGCCTCCTGGGCGGCGCCGATTTACCATTAGGTAACTATATATCATATAATAGGTCGTTTGCGACATATCCCATAAAAAATATATATTGTTATGAAAATAAACACCGACCATTGCTACAAGAAATTATTGTATCAATATAGTCTCAGCTATAGCCTCAGTGAGTAAATAGGCATTAATACTTGCGGGTTTTAAGGCCTATCTGTCGCTTCAACAATTGAATAATCTTTGACAGCCAATATCTTAGATATTTCGTAGACTTGCGTCCGTACGATCCGTTTTTCCACAATCTCGTCAATTTTTTTTTATCAGGTCAACAAAATTTTTAGTTCTATGTTATTACAAATGTAGTGTGGACGTGTTGTATATAGTTTTTTCAAAATGGTGTCGTGTCAATTTTTTAGTTTTAGTGCGTTTTTTGTGCTTTTCTTTGGTGTTAAAATAAGCGTGACTCAAGTTGACGTTGGTAAGTTTTATTGTGAATTAAGTGAGGGAGAATATCGTATGTCGTGGTCACCCGGAGGTTAAGGCGCCCGCTTCTCATGTATGAGGGAACAGTTTCTGGCAAGTACCAATGTGACTTTTTCCGAGTTATATGTACTTTCTATGATTATTTAGACACCACTGACATACGGTGAAGGTAAACATCGTGAGGTAACCTGGACTTATGATTTCTAATTATAAGTTTGACATCACCAATCCGCCTTGATCAAGCGTTTTGATTAATGCTCAAACCTTCTTCATGTGAGAAGAGGCCTTTGCTCAGCAGTGGGCACTTATAGGCTGATGATGTGAAATGTGCTGTGATAATTGTATGAAGTGTGATATTCTTTCATTGATTGTGTTAACGTAAATCAATCGGCACGAATGGGTCGGCTCGACCGGAGTGATACCACGGCCTCACAGAAAACCGGCGTGAAACAACCACAGCGTTGTGTTTCGCCGTGTGAGTGAGGTTACCGGAGGCCCAATCCTTCCCCTCCCCCAATCCCTCCTCAATCCCTAAATCTCCAAATCCTTAATCCAACGCATTCATATGGTAATAATAAAACTTCCTCAGTTTTGAAATTGTGACTCTATTCCTCTCTCTATTTTAGACAAAATAAACTAACATCTTCTAACTTCTACCTAAAAACTAGAACAAAAAATCTAAGTTCATCTTGAGGGGGGAAAACATCATCAATAAGAAATTATAAGTTCAGGTTTTTTTTACAATGTTTTCCTGCACCGTATGTCAGTGGTGTCTAAAGAACCATAGAAAAAAAGTGCATATTATTGGTTACTCAGAAAAAGTCACATTGGTTTCGTATCCGCATCCTCATGCATGAGTAGTGGTCGTTCTAACCTCCGTGGGTGACTACGACAATTTGCTTGAAGTATAAACTTGGAGAGTTCGTTACAACTAAAAAAAAAATTGGCTTTCGTGCATGTTTCATAAAATTGATTCAAAGTTCCACCATAGGCGCCAATGGATCTAAGAACCTTCTAAAACTTGGGTTCTTGTCTCCAGTGCGGGACAAAGATTATTTAAAAAAAAACCTGCAATGTCCTCCAGTGGGGCCGAAACAGGTGAAGGATAATGAAAGTCAAAATCAAAGTCAAATCATTTATTTGAATTAGGCAATTTTATAAAATTTTTAACGTCAAACAAAAATTTACTGATAAAAAATTACAGTCTGTCGGTCAGTCCTCTTAGTGAAGCTATTTGCTCATTCCAAAGTGTAGATTCAGATGGAGAAGAACGAGCAAGAAACTCCATGGTTACTCTTTTTCAAAATCTTTATTTCGTTCTTCCAATTGACATCTGCTTGTTTAGCTGTTTCGTGATGATTTGACCAAGGATGGAGCTCTTTGGCAGTAATTTACCTGATGGTAAGCAATCAGCGCCGCAAATGGACCCTCGTAATACCAAAGGTGTTACTACAAGTGCGTCGCCAGCCTCCCGTGTGTTCTTAGGGGATTTGCGGATTAAGGACGTGGGTATGGATTGGGAAGGGTTGGGCCACAGGTAGCCTCAATTACACGGCGAAAAACAACGGAAGTGTTGCGTCACCCCGATTTTCACTAAGGCCGTGGTATCACTCCGGTCGAGCCGACCCATTCGTACCGAAGCATGGCTCTCCCACGTATACTTAACTTAAAAATACTATCTTCTTTTCAGGCACAGAGACTACCAGCCCGGAGCCGTTATCGACAGCAATATGTACCACATGTTCCTGTGCGGATGGCGTGGTCAACTGTATGAATCTTAATCTGACTGCATTTTTCGAAATTCCTGATTGGGATGGTAAGTTTGCGGTTTTTTGGTAAGAGTTGCGGGGTAAGATTAGGCACCGCGGCCTTGGCCTAAAACAGGAGAGGGAAATGGGGCATTGTTAGTCAGTAAGAGTCTGACACTCTCTGTCGCCTTACCCTGGGCGGGAGAAGTCATTTGATGATTTTCCCCTTACAAAAAAGAGAAAGTGAATTACATTACATGTAACGATATGAAGCAGACAGTGTTTTGGCAGTCCTGAACCTTTTCATCCATCCTCAAATAAATTCGCCATCATAAATATAACACCAACTTATTTGGAAATATGTTTTTTTAGGTCTCAGGGATTTCCAGCCGCTTTCAGTCAATCTAAGCCAGAATCCTATCACACATGTGACAAGGATATCGAAATTGCCCATACGAGAATTGAACCTGTCCAATTGTGATATTCAAACTCTAGAAGATGGAAGTTTTGTATACTTGGAAGATTTGGCTGTCTTGGATTTGTCTAATAATAAAATATCCACGTCGGCGATCAATAAGAAGGTTTTTGCTGTAAGTATCTGAATTCATACTCTTTGGTCCGGTAATACCTGATGGTAGGTAATCAGACCCGCATATACTTAGACCACTTGACACTGGAAGGGTAGGCGATTAAAAACGAAATTGTAGAATCAATTGCCATTAAAAAGAAAAAAAGAACGTACCTAAGTATTGTAACAATTTGAAAAGTTTTTTTTGGGTGTGGGGGAGCCATTCTTTGGCACGAATAGGTCGTTCGACCGCAGTGATACCGCGGCCTCACAGAAAATCGGCGTGAATCAACCACAGCGTTGTGTTTCGCAGTGTGAGTGAGGTTACCGGAGACAAGATATAATATTCCTTGCCTTTTCATTTTGAGAATGACGTCATTGACATGTATTTGACGTCAATGGATACTCGCAAGAACGAAGGAGTTACGAGTGCGTTCCCGACCATTTTGGCAATTAGGGCCATAAGAATTTAAGGATTGGAAGGATTGGGCCTCCGCTAACCTCACTTGCCCTGCAAAACACGACGCTGTGGTTGTTTTTCGCCGGTTTTCTATAAGGCCGTGCCATTACTCCGGTCGATGAAATGTAACGCGGTTCAAACATGAACGTATAATATAACGTTGATCTTCATAAACTTTCCTTGCCGCTGCTCAAATGAGCTGAGGGCTTATCTGATAGTAAGCAAAAGACATCGCCCACGGAAACCTGTAACACTAGAGCAGTTACAAGTGCTTTGACACCGTTTTGGAAGTCTTTAGGGTCTTGAGGATAAGGGAAGAAAGGAAGAGAAATGGGCTTCCAAAAAACTCTCTCACACGCTGAAATACAACTTAAGTTCATTAGCTTTCATTAGCCGAGCTCGCGGATCAAGGGCAAAATAAGGTACAGTGGCCACGGCATAGACCAGGAGAAGTAACAGGGGGGGGGGGAGGGTTAGTCAGTAAGAACCCTAGGTGGGAGAAGACATTTGATGATTCTCCCTCCGACAAAAAAAAGCTTTGTTTCATCTGGCTTCACTATGGTCGAGAGCCCCATTCGTGTAGAAACTTTCAACACACTGTGAACTGAACTGATACTAAAATTGATTTCCATGATCAGGTGTTTATGAAAAATAACCTTGTTTTTACAGGGTCCCCTAGGCTTGATTGGACCAGTGAATTTCAAAAACATGCAGTACCTAAGCTTAGCGAACAACGATCTACACTCTTTAGCACAAGACCTATTTTTGTTTATGCCCGATTTGCTGCATTTGGATCTGAGTGATAATCCATTAGCTTTCATAGATCAGGTCACAATGGGAGCCATTTCTGATTTGAAATATTTAAAGGTAAGTTAATGGATTTTATTTTGTTATGGATTTTTAGAGGTATGATAGAACAGGGTGGAAAGTTCCTCATCCTCCATTGAAAAGGGAGGATCCTCCGATCAAACGGGGTGTTATGTCTGGTGGGCTACTGCCCGACGGTTGTTGTCGGGCTTTTTTTATCGGTTCTAATTGCTTTGAGAACTCTATGTAGGGTCTTGCAAGTGATTGGTGCTGTTGTTGTTGTTGTGCGATAGATGTCGCTACATCACTCTCCTCCGAAACCGGGAGGTCGTCAGCAGGTTGAGTCGTCTGTATAGCTTGAGATAGCTTAGCGATTTTATAATGGAGTTATTTGTTATGAAATAGATTGATTCAGTACAGACACACATCATCATCAGGCTATAAGTGCCCACTGCTGAGCAAAGGCCTCGTTTCACACGGAGAAGGTTTGAGCATTACTCACCAAGCTTGCTCGAAGCAGATTGACGATTTTCCCCTTTATTGTACATCAGTTGTGTCTCAATAATACATATAACTTGAAAATCACATTGGTACTTGCCAGGTTTAGAAACTAAGGCACCTCGACTAACACCCGGATTCCGAAAGGCCGATCAATGTTAAAATCAATTTAATCTCTTGTCAAGTCATCTGATTGGTTGCCTGAATTATCAACAACCAATCAGATGACTTGACAAGAGATTTGACACTTTTTTTTTTGGTAACGGGGGGAAACCTTCAAGAAGCTCCTAGTTTTTTGTGGGGAGAAAGACTAAGGAGTGTGGGATTTTTACCTCACTAAAACCACCCCGGTGGCCACCCTCATCACCTGTAAGGCGCGCCGGATCCTCTACAAGAGACCTGCTCCGGAGCCCCCACGGCGAAACGCCTGTGAAGGCACATCCCAAGACAGATTTGACACCTAGTTAGTTGATTTTTACATTGATCGGGCTTTCGGAAACCGGGCATTAACTTATTAAGGCGAAGAGTTAAATAAATGACCTTATCTTTCTTCATATTCCAGGAGCTGAAACTAAGCAATTGTGAATTAGAGACGTTACCTGATGGTCTACTGAGAAGACAGAGGAAGTTACGACGATTGGACATAAGTAATAATAGGTTTACAACTATTCCATCCGTCCTGAAGGAAGCCCCAAGTCTGACATACTTGAATCTGGATAGAACGCCTATACAGACGTTAGATTCAAACACGTAAGTCTTTTGCTGTCGCGGTCTTTTCCTGATTCAGTCTTTTGTATAGAGTGGATGTTCCGATAGCCTTTTCATAAATTTTTCTTTCGCGGTATTCTTCGTATCGTTCCGTAACCCGTTTTCCAAAAATATAATAAAAATGTCGTCAAAATCGAGACTTTTTATAAATTTGTAAAGTCACTCGTGTTTTTCATTTTTTTTTTTGTATAAAATAACAAGGATATTTTTTTCTTGAAAATTTTCAACAAAAATTCTGTGTCTTCAAATCATTAATGAAAATGTAATTAATCTTTTATTTTGTAAAAATATTTCTGTAGGACCAATTTTGTTTTCTCTAACAATTCCAGAGATCTTATTTTATACTCACACTAACCACCATTCCGATATACGAAGCAATTTTGTATCTAAGTATTAAATAAGATATTCAAAATCTGTTGCGTAATATATAAGATTTAAGCAAACATATAGGGACAGAGAAAGCGACTTTGTATTATACTATGTACTAATTTTTTTTCCACCATTTTAGTGCCTTATGCAACCTGACCAAATTGCAAGAATTAAGTTTAAGTAGACTCAGTAGACTACAGAATGTCTCAGCTGGTGCTTTAGCTGGTCTAGGTGACCTGACTATCTTAAGGATGAACTACAACCCTAGATTGACTAATCTGGACCCAGATTTTCTGGTTTCGAAGAATGAGGATGATGAGGAAGTGTGGCCAAATCTCAGCGAGGTATGTTAATTGAAGCCATTTTATTTAAAGAATGAGAAAGTCCCGTTCTCGGTACCATTTTCATAATATGAGGAAAAAAATACAACATTTAAAATAAATAAAAATACAACAGCAAACAAGCAGGTAAATTACCTGAGGTCAAGCAATCGGCGCCGCCCATGGACACCCAAAACCCCAGCGGAGTTACAATTCGGAGTTCCGAGCCTTTTGGGGATTAGGGTTTCGGAAAATCAGGGATTGAGGAGGATATGGGGAGAGAAACTACTACGTCATACAGCAAAAACCAACGCTGTGGTTGTTTCACGCCGGTATTCTGTAAGGCTTTGGTACTCTAGTCGAGCCGATCCATTCGTCTCGAAGCATGTTTCTCCCACACTTAAGTGAAGTCTGTCGTGTCGAACTCTTATTAAGACCGTCCTGAAAATGAAATTGCTAATATTTGGTGCTCAATTTTTCTTATTTTTCTGTTTTCAGCTATACCTAAACAATAATAATCTATCCAGCATAGATTCTGCAATAATTGACAACTGGAAGGAACTGGTGGCAGCAGACTTTTCCACCAACCCTTATGTTTGCGACTGCAAGAACCAGTGGGTGGTGGACGTTCTTGTACCATTACTGATAACCATGTCTGCTAACTCGTCTATTAACAATATGGTGTAAGTATTCTATTAATATCATATCATATATCTTAACCAGCCTACATCAAGTGTTTTTTCTAAAAACCGTTCCTTCTCCTGCTCTGGGCGACCTCGTCGCTGTGACTCATTGCGCTTACCCCGCAACCCCGGCTAAAGATCAGCCCTATAAGGCCTCGTCTGTGGTGGTCTATTGGCTCCTTGAGGCGCGCGCGGAACGCTACGCGCCGTACGCTCGGGTCTGGTTCTGGTCCGGCGGCGAGCTACCCTTACTCGCCGTCCGCAGACCCACAAGCCTACAAGTGTTGCTGAACAAAGGCCTCTTCTAACACGGAGAAGGTTAGAGCATTAATCACCACGCTTGCTCAAGACTGATGGGCGATTTCAATCTTATAAGAAATTTTAAGTCCAGGTTTTACGATGTTTTTCTTCACCGTATGTTTGTGATGTCTTTTTCTTTCTGGTTTGAAAGTACATATGACTCGGAAAAAGTCACATTGGTACTTGACAGGTTCTGAATCCACACCCTCATGCATGAGAAGCGGGCGCCTTGACCACCACCACGACAATTCAGATTACAATTTTCTGTAACTTATTTTTACTAATAATACGCAATGAGGTACCGCAGCCTCGGTCTAGAGCAGGAGAAGAAACGGAGGCGTTTTTAGTCAGTAAGAGTCTGACACTCCCTCTCGCCCAACCCTGGGAAGGAGAAGACATTAGATGATTCTCCCCTCACAAAAAAAAGTGCCTTTAGTAACTTATTTTTTCTTTCCCAGCTGTAAAAAGCCGCCTGAACTAAAAGGCCTTACGTTTGGCCAGCTGAACGAGGCCTCAAAAACTTTGGTCTGCTTGGAGTCCGAGAGCATCACTGAGGTTCAAGTATCCAATATGGCGATTATTCTCGGAATTATGATCGGTAAGTTTGAATGTGATTGATCAAAAAAATAAGTATGTACTTTCTGGTTTATGACCAAAGAGTAAAGATTGACTGACACTGATAGACTGCACGGCACACTGTAACATGTCGCGGGTTCGATTCCCGCACGGAATAACTCTTTATGCGACCAGCAAAATGTTGTTCCGGGTCTAGCTGTGAGGTGTATGTCAAATTGTATATTTGTGAACGCATCCATGATTCAGGAGAAAAACAACGTTATTTTTTTAAATAGTTCCTTTTTCTGTTACCCCACTTTTATTTTAAAGGAAAATTCAAATAAAGCCTTCTTTTAAGAAGATTCTTGGCCGGTATTGAGTTTGTTACAGTCAAATGAACTTTTTTATAAGTGCTTCCTGCCGAGCAAAGGCCTTTTCTCACACGGTGAAGGTTTGAGCATTAATCACCATATTTGCTCAAGGCGGAATAGCGAATTCAAACTTATAATTAGAGATTATAAGTCCAAGTTTCCTCACGATGTTTTCCTTCACCGTATGTCTGCGGTGTCGCAATGAACTTATACCATATAAAAGATAGCTTGATCTCTGCGACATTCGTCAAACTGACATTCCTAGGGTTGTCATGATACAAAAAAATATCGATAGTAATTTCGACGTTTCATACTTATCGATGCTAAAATTATATGTATGATTGCAATATATTTTGGGTACTAAAATAAAATGAATATTTTAATCTAAGATAAATTTCTCCAAAGGAGTACACCCCAAATCTATATCCGAATCACTTTCAGAATCTTCCGAAACCCAAAGTTGTCGAATGGAATTTTACATGAGTAGGTTAGTATTAAAATTTAATTACGCACTATTGTAAATAATGTTATTATTTTAAAATAAACAATAAAATGAAATGACAAATTAATTTTGTTTGAATAAAAAAAAATTTCGATAGTTTATAGGATGTGGTCACGATGATTCTTCCTCATCACTAATTAGGTCAGCATGCCCATAAAGTATGACATTGACAGGTACATTTCTCTGTACTGTTAAATTCAAAACTTCATAGGCGCGATTTTACTGACAGCTGTCCCAGAGATCAAGCTATCTTTTATATGGTACCTACCATAATAGAAAGTAGTCAGGGGTCAGACAGGGGTCAAAAATGCAATAACACTCTACCAATCTTAAAATGACTAAAATTAAAACTTCAATGGTTCACAGCCAGTTTATTCAATAATTTAGATTCTATGCTATAAATTAAAGCAGTCCTCAACCATTGACTCTATTCAACAAAGATATTATGGTCATTTTAAAATTGGTAGAGCGCAATTGCATTTTTGACCCCTGTCTGTACATATGACTCGGAAAAAGTCGCATAGAAATACTTTTTTCTTGTTTTCAGGTATTGTGGTAACTTTTCCAATAGTATTGGTGTTGGTTCTTCTATGGAGACGAGGGTTCTTCTCCAAGTTAAGAGGGGAGAAGCACGAATACGACGAGGAAGCTGAAGATCTGTAGTTTAATTTAAAATTAGTCTTTAAGCCAGACCTGGGTACGTCTTGAAACTACGACCAGCCACCGAGAGAAGAAAACTTAATCCCCAAGTAAATTGCCAAGTGTGGGGATTATGTCAGTCTCCCAAAAAGGAGGTCTGATGATGGAGATGAAATAATGTTACAAGGCAGAAGATATAATATTCACCAGTTATGTAATGTCTTCTGTGGTAAGGCCTAAAAGGCCTATTTTGCTGAGAACTTCAAGAATCGAATAAGGCTCTTTTATCGAAGTGGGCTTTTGCCGATTTAGTCTGTGTGGATGTCGCTTTACGACTAAGCTAGAGCTAAAGTCCTATGAAGTTCTTGTAGAAAATGTGTTTTTAAAATATAATAAAAAGTGTCTTATTTTCTGTAAATAACTTCTAAAAAAATATATTTGTTAATGACATGGCTTATATTTTATTTTGTCAGTGAGGGAGCCTTGCTTTGGTACTAAAGGGTCGCCTCAACCGGCGTGAAACAACCACAGCGTTGTTTTTTTGTGTGAGTGAGATTACCGGAGGCCTAAACCTAAACCACCAGCCATCCTCTAACCCCGACGAGCCCCAAAACTGCTGACACCGATTGCTTACCATCAGGGAATATAATTGCACGTTTGCAGACTTATCCAATAAAAATAACACCTAATTGCAATGCTAAAAACTACAGAACAACTGTACCGAATAGAATTAATTTTTTTTAACATGATATTAAATTGAAAAAAATTAAAATTTTACGGTTAGTACCTACATATTTTTCTCTACATCAAAGTGTGAGAGAGCCATACCTAATTCGGCACAAATGGGTCGGCTCGACCGGAGCGATCCCATTCCCATGGCCTAACAGAAAACTGGCGTAAAACAATCGTAGAACAGTCCTCAATCCCTAAATATCCAAATCCCTTATCCCTAAAATGTCGGCAACGCTCTCGTTACTCCTCTGTTGTTGCGTCCATGGGCGGCGCTGATTACTTACCATCAGGTAATCTGTCTGCTCGATTCTTACCGGCCTATCACATAGAAAAATCACCTTGTTCGATTGGCAGAGAATGCCTGTATCATTAAGTCCATATTGTACATACATTTTTGGCCAATAGCCTTAATAAATAAATAAAAAAAACAGTAGTCATCTATTTAGAATACAAATTTATTGAAAAATTAAACAACAAAAAAAAATACTCATTAATATTCATTTTCTTTTTTAAAGTTTTCTTTTATCAATCCGATTTTTTTTCCAAGCCCGATGTGTCACATGTCTGCGAAAACTTGATCGAGGGATAGTCTTTATCTATAAATAAGAAAGACCACACTTAATTGGCCAGTTATGGCCATCCTGCAAGATGGAATGGATGGATGGATTGCTTACCATCAGGTAATCCGTCTGCTCATTTGCCAACCTATGACATAAATAAGGAGAGTGCTGAATCCTGTCGTCATAATTTTGATGCATCAATACCTTTAACAACTGAGCTTATGGATGGGACATTATCATATACCTTTTTTTGTCTGGGGAAAATCATCCAATGACTTCTCCCGCCCAGGGTAAAGCGAGAGAGTGTCAGACTCTTACTGATTAAAAAGCCCCCGTTCCTTCTCCTGCTCTGGGCCGATGTCGCGGTGACTCATTGCGCTTACCCCGCAACCCCTGACTATTACATACCTAATATATGTATATGCGCAAATCTGAAGCTGGACTGATATCACTACATTTTTGCTTGTGTTTGTATTTGTTAAAAAATAAATCGAACAAAAAAAAACAAGAAAAGATCCACTATCCACGAGAAGCTGCAAAATGGCGTCAGTTTCTGAAATTAAAAGTAACAAAGTAACTGTCTCTTACTTACTATTCGTAAGGATATTTCTCATAAACTGTGGAGCGATAACCTTTTTTATTTTATGCCTGTAGCAGGCTAACCTGAAAAAAACAATGAATATTAAATTGTATGTTTGTAACCGCACCCACGACACAGGAAAAATCCTAGTGAGGAGTTGTGTTTTTTTTTGCAGTGTTTTTTTTAAAAAAAAACTAAAAAGAATTTAACACTAGGAAGACCGAAATTTTGAACTACCTATAAAGACCAGGTGGGGTCAAATGACCCATTCATGGATTATAATGTTTTATTCATGTATTATGGTTTTAAATTTTATTGATTAACATCTTATAGTAAATAAAAGAACTTAATAGTAATTAAACATACATTACGTAATAAAAACTTAAAAATATTAGGCACATTTTTGACATTTAATTGTTTACATTGCAAGAGCCACACAAAAGCTTTTTACAACGAATTTATACGACTTTTACGATTTATTGGTTTTATTTCTGCATTTTTGCAAGCGGGTATGCTATTATCAGGTTGTGGAGTAGATGGTGTCATCAGGGAGTGGGAATCTTGGCCGACTAACTCCCTGGCCAAGTCAAGAATGAACTTTTTTCTACTGATTTTTTTCTCGATAGCTTTTTGTACAAAATCCAAGAATCATTTGCTGTCAAATCCAAAATATTATTATAAAACAATTGTCCTGTGTTACAATTAGGTTTTTTGCCATATTTACACTGGTGAAAAAAATATCAGTAGTTACATTTCGACCAGTGGGTGCATTGGTCGCAATACGACCCACTCGCCTGAACTTTGATTTTGTCGACGGCTTTCATTTCTTTCTAAACATATGGAACCTCGACCTCTTCTTAGGTTTTGCACTACGTAAAGTCGAGAGCTACTGAATCTGAAGCAGTGGAGTAAACGCTAATAAAATGTTTCCTTTTCTCTCAATGTAAAAAAATATTATTTTATTTACATCAATATACAAAATAATATACATTTACTATCAGAATCGGAATATGAGTGGGATCATCATCCCTAAAAGAATCACTATTTTGTGTAATATTGTAAACACTTTCTTGACTTTCTGAGTCTAAATGCAAAATGTGCCTCACTTCTTCAGTCGATTCACAGTCTGATTGATCGTCCGGTAAAATTTTGCGACACTTCCTGTATTTTTGAAGGGCAAAGGGAACGATAATGAGGTTCATATTATTATGGCGAGTCATGATATGTCTTTGTTTTGACAAGAATAAAACAAGAAAAAAATAATTTATTTCAACTACCCATAACACAAGTATATTCCACGAAATGTAATTAGCAAGCACGCTGTGGTGTCAAATGACCACTGCGGTCTCTCTAGGTAGGTGATATTTTTTGAATTAGTATTATCTTGCTATCGGTATACCCATATCAGAATAATGTAAACAATGACGAAATATTAAAAGTCATAAAACGACAATGAGTTCAGTGCTATGGTTTTGATAATATGATTGATCAAAAATTTCATTGGGGTCATTCGACCACTCTGGTCTTTCTAGTGTTAATACATCAAAAAAATGTTTCTCCGCGCCTAACTCATGAACGACTGTATTGAAAATGTTGAAATTACCTAATATGTAATTCAAAGTTGGTTATTGTTAGATATTTAAGGAAAAAACATAACCTACCACATTCAAAATTTTAATATATTTTTTCAAAATGAAAATTATGAAAACATTCAGAAACATGACTGAAGCTGGGTGCGAAGAGCTGGTTTTGAACTAAAACTAAAAAAAATAACCTAATAAAAATAAATCAACGCTTAGCCCTTTCTTCCTTCAAATATCAAAATCCTCAAATCTTTAATTCCCAAACGCTTTCGGAACTCCTCTTGCCATGGGCAGCGTCGGTTGCTTACCATCAGGAAATCCAACTGCTCGTTTTCCGCCCAAAATATGTTAAATATAACTTACTGGGCCGGTGTAGGTCCCGCTATTTTCATGACCTGAGCTCTCATGCAGCGGTAACTGTGTGAATCCCTCAAATGCTTACATCTGAAAGAAGAATAGTGGAAGAAAGAAGGAAAGAAATATAATTAAACTGACACTGAATATGCCACACAATGCACCAAAGATATGTATAATAATGGGACCAAAAACATAACGAAAAAAAAGAAAGGAAAAATAATACAACAATTTGGAGTATGAACCTAAAATAAATAAACAAAAAGGTACGAAAAAAAAGTTTTAATTTTAAGTTAGAACCTAAAATAAAACATAATTGTAAATATTAAAAAAAAATACTTAAACAACTAAAACAACAAACAATACAAGATGGCAGCATGTCCATACCAAAAGAGTGGCCATCTTACTCAAATATTTTAAGTGTGGGAGAGCCAAGCTTCGGCACGAATCGGTCGGCTCGACCGGAGCGATACCACAGTCTCGACGAAAATCAGCGTGAAACAACTATAGCGTTGTGTTTAGCCGTGAAATTAAGATAGCCAAAAGCCCAAACCCAACAAATCACTAAATGGTCAATTTTTTTCTTCTTTTTTAATAAACGACTTTGCCCCATATTGATTTCCTCCTGTGTCGTGGGTGCGTTTACAAACATACAACTTCAAATAGGTACACATCCATTAACATTTGTAGATCACACAAGACACAGAGTTGTTCCGTGCGGGAATCTAACCCGCGACACGTTACGCGACAGCCGGTTGTCCAGCCACCACGCCAACTGTGGAGTCAGTCAACTGCTATCCCACAAAAGGCGACGCGCTTGCATCTCCTCTTATATTACGAGTGTGTGTGGCGCAGATTGCTTACCATCAGGTAATAAGTCACCCTTAAAAGAAACCCTTACTCACCCTTCTTGTTTAGAACAAACACATAAACTGTTCTTAACATTTTCATCCCTGAAACAAAATAAAAAACATCAAATTATACAGATGACCTTACCTTACTTATTAAGTATAAGTGTGGGAGAGCCATGCTTTGGCACAAATGGACACACACAGACACAGAAAACCGTGATAAAACAACCGCAGCGTTGTATTTCGCCGTATGAGTGAGATTACCGCGAAGGCCCAATCCTTTCCTTCCCTCCATAACTCCCCAATCTCAAAATCTCCAGAATACTGATGTCCAAAAGGCCGGAATCCAGTGTTGTGGATATCCATGGGCGGCGCCGATTGCATACCATCAGGTAATCCGTAAGCTCGTTTGTTGACTAAGCACATGAAAACGGACATCACGCTACAGCCGTCTGGAGAGCCAAAAATAGTAACTCTCATCAGAAAATAATAATAAATCAAAAGAAAATAATAAGATACACGAAAGGTGTGTTGGCGAATTTTTCAAGTATCTATTCAGAGCCCTTGTGTCTATTCACTCCTCGAATTCTACTCACTCCGTTTTACTATGTAATATATTTAGGCAGACACAAGAATGAAACCCGAGAGAACGCACCTTGACTAAAAACCCTAAGTCCTAAAAAAATAAATAAACAAAATAGGTACAGACAACATTACCTTACAATTTTCGACACGTTCGCAACCAAATCGTTCCTGAAAGTCAATAAAGAGTTAGAATCCTTTGTAATAAATAAAATCATGATTTATTATCATCATCATCAGACTATAAGTGCCCACTTCTTCTCACAGGCTTGCTCAAGGCGGATTGGCGATTTCAAACTTATAAATTAGCAATTATAAGTGCAGGTTTCCTCACGATGTTTTCCTTCACCTGTTTGTGGTATCTTAATGAACTTAGAAAGATTATGAGAAAAAATATAATTACAGACTGAAAAATATTCGGGCTGGAGTTGAGGATGCAAGAGCTATTATGTACTGCGGGTCCGGCCCGAAGAAGGAGAAGAAACGGGGTGCTTTTTAGCCAGTAAGAGTTTGACAATCACCTCGCCAAGGCGGGAGATACTTTAATATTTAACGGCAGTAACCCACCAAATCCTTCCCCCAATTCAAATATCTAAATGAATAAATCTCCACAACCCTTATCCCCAATCGGACGGCAAAGCACTTGTAGTAACTCCCTTTATACTATGAGTGTTTATTGGCGGCACTGATTGCTTACCATCAGGTAATCCGACATCTCGTTTGACATCCTATCGCATAAAAAACTAGATGACCATATCACTGGTGCCCTTCTAGGTGAACCAAGAGATGTGCCACCAGATACTTACCATCCAAGTTTGTATGGCGTTCTTCTTCTGTTAATTGTCGAATATAACCTTCGGACTCCACGACCTGAAGTATGGTTAACATGTGTAAATTATTTTAATGTTAAAAACAGGTACTGAACCGATTTTTAACCGGGGTTGAGAGTCAAGCGCAATAACTCACTGCGACCTCGGCTTGGAGAAGGAGAAGGAACAGGGTAATTGTAGTCAGTAAGAGTCTTGACACTTTCTCTCTCCCCACCCTGGGCGAAAAGAGTCAATTGACGACTTTTCTGCCCCAAAAAAAGGGTAGATATAACCAGGATAGAGGATCTGATAAGGGTCGAAGGGAACTGGTGGATGATCGTTGCGTCCAACCGACCTTACAGAGATCTGTAAGCCATTGAGGGGTTTTTGGCAGATATAAATGATCTTAATTTTGGGAGAGCCATGCTTCGGCACGAATAGGCGCCCTTGACCGGATTGTGTCATACGGCCTTATTACAAAACAAGGTTTTACTTTAGTCTAGGACTAAACCATAGAGCCAGTTTTCGTATTTCGAATTGAAGATAGATGACAATAAGATTCAAAATTCAAAACCCGACTCAATGGTTTTAACCTGGACTAAAGATAAACCTTGTTTTGTAATAAGGGGGGATAATGTCAAAAGACCTTATAAAAAAACCCGACGTACACATACGTGAAAGAACCAGAGAGTTGTGTTTTGTTTGTTGAGTGAGGTTACTGGAGAGCAGATCGCAATTCCTAAATCTTTAACCCCCAAAAAGCAACACATTTGGTAACTGTTCTGGTGTTGCAGATGTCTATTTGCGATTTTTTTTATGTAATGGGTCGGCAAACGAGCAGACGGATTACCTAATGGTAAGCAATCAGCGCCGCCCATGGACACCCGCAAGGGAGTAGTAACGAGTGCGTTGCCGACCTTTTAGGGATTAGGAATTTGGATATTTAGGGATTGAGGAGGTATTTGGGCGAGGGGAAGGATTGGGCTTCCGGTAGCCTCACTTATACGGCGAAACACAACACTTTCGTTGTTTCACGCTGGTTTTTTGTGAGTCCGTTATATCACTCCGGTCGAGCCGACCCATTCGTGCCGAAGCATGGTTCTCCCACACTTAATACCTATATGAAAAAAAAAAAAATAGAAGCAAAACCAACATACTTTGGTGTTCAGCAACCTCTTCATACAGTACGCGTTTCAGATGCCTGAGAGGACTCCTGAAATATATTTATTGACATTATATTTAAAACTGACACCTGGCACCGGCCTAGACCAGGAGAAGGAATAGGGGGGTTTTTAGCCAGTAAGAGTCTGACACTCCCTCCGGCCCAGGGCTGGGTGGGAGAAGTCATTTGATGATTTTCCACTCACAATAAAAACACGATTCCATTTTCATTTTGCTAAAAGTTCGTAATCTAAAAAATCTAAATGAGGCACCGCGGCCTCGACCTAAAAAAGGAGAAGGAACGGGGGAGTTTTTAGTCAGTAAGAGTCCGACACTTCCTCTCGCCTTACCGTAGGCGAGAGTAATCATTGATGATTTTTCTAAAAAAACCCGTTCTTTCTCCTGCTCTGGCCCGTGAAAATAATATATACGAACCAAATTCCAATACTTCCCCTCCCTCCAATACCTAAATCTCCAAATCCCTGATCCCCAAAAGGTCGGCAACGCACTCGCTAATCCTCTATTGCGAGTGTCCATGGGCGGCGCTGATTGCTTACCATCAAGTAACCCACCTGCTCGTTTGCCAACCTATTACAAAAAAAAAAACACTTTTTGCAGCACTAACAACAGCAAAAGGAGGAATGTTTCGATGATTTTTTTCCCTTTACAATAGAAAAAAGATTCTGATGACCTTTTCGCATGTTAAACAGAAAAGAGGCCTAACTCAAAAAATTAAGTATTTCAATCTTAAAAATTATGCTTCAATAATAAGGTTCAATTTTGGAATATCCTCATTTTTGAGTTAGGCCTTTTTTCTATTTAACATGCGTTTTGTTATAAACTTACCTGATCTTGCAATCATCAGCACTCATCAGAATACTGACAAGGGAACTTCGCGTTAGAATATTCTTTTTGACTGAAAATGTAAAAACGAATTCAATCTATAATATATAATACTAGATACTTTAGCGCGGTTTCACCCGCTGCTCGGCTCCATTTAATCGTAGCGTGATGTTTTATAGCCTACTACCGGCCCGCCCCCGCTTTGCACGGGTCCAACAGTCCAACTCGCTATCAAAGGGTCACTTTTTCCTATCTTCCCCTCCACTTTCCTAATCTTTCCTAATATTTTCTTTGATAAGAACCTTCTCCTGACAATGTAAAACACAACAAAAAAAGAATTAGCTAAATTGGTCCAGGCGTTGTTGAGTAATGCGCTTACCAACACAGCTTACCAACACATTTTGCGATCCATTTTTATATACAAGAAGAAGATCCTGAATGCTATATTCAGGAACATTGTAGTTCTACTTGTGAAAGAATTTTGGAAATCCGACCAGCGGTTCCACAGATTACCTCCTACATACAAACTTACAAATTCTACCTCTTTATAATATTAGTATAGATATAATATTTATAAATATTATGTTAATATTATAATTAATATTATTTGTATTAATATTATAGAGCTGTAGAGTTTGTTTGTTTGAACGCAATAATCTCCGGAACTACTGGTTTGAGTTGAACAATTCTTTTTGTGATCGTTATTCCATTTATCGAGGAAGGCTATTATAGGCTATAAAACATCACGCTTCGATATGTAGGAGCCAGTAGGGACAGAGTAGCTGGTATTTATAAAAACTTGATTGCACACAACTTATGATTGGTTTAAGTGTGAAAGGCGATTTAGGGATTGTGGCACGGGAACGATTGGGCCTCCGATAACCTCACTCAAACGGCGAAACACAACGCTGTGGTAGTCTCACGCCGGTTTTCTGTGAAGCTGTTGTATCACTCCGGTTGAGCACAGGAAAGGGTTGGAAAGCCAAGACTCAGCACGAATAGGTCGGGCTTCAGAAAATTGGCGTGAAACAACCAGAACCTTGTGTTTCACCGTGTGAATGAGGTTACCGGAGGTCCAATCCCACCAATCTCCTCCAGTTCTTAAATATTCGAAACCCTTATACCTTAAATACCTCTTTATGCAATCCACTAATTGTTGTTCCGGGTCTGACAGTGATGTGTATGTGAAATTGAAAAACCGCCCACGACACAGGAGAAAATCCTAATAACTATGAGTCAACATACGGCCTAATCCCTCCCCTTCCCCTATCCCTTCCAGATCCTTATATCCGCAACCACTATCCCCAAAAGGTCGGCAACGCACTCGTTACTCCTTTGGTGTTGCGAGTGCCCACGGGCGGCGTCGATTGCTTACCATCAGGTAATCCGTCTGCTCGTTTGCTGGACTATCATATAAAAAAACACGCTAGGTAAATGCTATCTTGTAAGATATCACATTAAATTGTAAGCGTTGGTTTAAATTGATCTTTTTATAATACTTACAAAATTTCAAAGGCATTTTTATTATACTGCCCAGTCGTCTGTCCATTATTTTTCTGTAAAGAAAACACTTAATATTATTTTCTGAGGTGTAGATGGATATCTATATTAATAGTATGATTATTTAGACACCATTGACATACGGTGAAGGTAACCATCGTGAGGAAACCTGGACTTATAATTCTAATTATCAGTTTGAAATCGCCAACCCGCATTGTGATGCGTGATGATGAATGCTCAAACCTTCTCCGTGTGAGAAGAGGCCTTTGCTCAGCAGTGGGCACTGATAAGCTGATAATGATAAATAGTATTTATACTATAATGCTTAAGAGTTTATTTGTTTGAACGCGCTCATCTCCGGGGCTCCTGGTTTGAATTGGATAGTCCATTGAAGAAGGCTATAGACATATCAAATACGCAGTCTGTAACAGAAGCGGAATCCGATGTTTTCATTGGTCGCTATAACGCCTGGTGGTAGCGATGATGGGACTTATGGATCACACCTTAATATAAACAACCTTTTCTCACAAGCCTTGAAGACACCCTGGTCCCTTCGTAGAACACAGGCTTCATTAAAAAAAATCCACTCCTTAGTGGTTCTGATTATAAAATTGGAGGCGAACCGCTTCGTGCTTGTGGGTGTGATATCCACCATAAAGCGATGAAGTATTGCCGATTGTCTGGTGGTACGATGATGGAATGAACTAGGGGGAATCAAGGCTTGAAGCTCTCCTGAACATTCTCCGAAATGTATCCGATACAAAAACCGAAAAACTCGCAGCTTTGCGCAGTTTGCGCCTATGTTCGAGGCTTTGAATTCAGGCCTCCACCAGCGCATCGTCGTTAATGAGCATCTTGGCACGCCTCTCAATGTGTCCAGTTGGTGTTAAGCCGAGCCGTCCCAAAGAAAGCAGTACTTCATACAGGATCGAACTTACGCTGGGTATTTTTTTTCCCAAAAAAGACCTTCTGTAATCTCCAACTGACCAAGAGGACGCAGATACATAAAGATACTCACGTAGCCACCGACTCTTCGACAGTACTGCAAGGCGTTCCAACCCAGTCGGAACGATCGCCGGAGACATCTGTCAACATAGATACCATCTTACTTTTAATCCCTTGGAAGAAATAGAAAGGGATACTGAGACAGGCCTGACGACCAGCTAAGGGCTTATTTTTCAATGGTTAGATAAAAGTTATAGGGGGAATATTTATGATGCTGTCGCGTCAGAATGTTTGTATAAGACAGTGACAGCAACAATTTTATTCCTCAGATAACGTTTATCTGACTATTGAAAAATCAGCCTTAAGTATTGCTCCACCAGACCCAGGTCTTAACAAAGTTTTTTCTGGTCAATAATGTTGTAAATTCACTACTTCTTCAAGTGTGGGAGAGTCAAACTTCGACACTAATGGGTCGGCTCGACCAGAGTAATACCATGGCCTCACAGAAAACCGACGTGAAACAACCACAGGGTTGTATTTCTGCGATCGACTGAGATCCTAATCCTACATCTTCGCAATCTTAATCCCAAAAGGCCAGCAACGCACTCAGAACTCCTCTGGTGTTACAGGTTTCCATAGACCTTAGACCTTCATTGTCGACGTCATTCACAAAATCCTGAAATGACTGCTCTGGACCAGGTTATGACGAGACTCTTCAGATTGTTACTGACTAAAAACCCCCCTTTCCTTCTCCTGCTCTGGGCCGAGGTCGCGGTGCCTCATTGCGCTTACCCCGCAACTGAACATCAGCCCTATAGGGCCCCGTCTGTGGTGGTCTATTGGCTCTTTGAGATGCGCCTGGAAAAATATTCTGGCCTGCCATCACGTTAATGTTTATTTAGTAAGTTGGTATGAGATATTACCTGACTCTTGATTCAAAACCGACAGACTGCAAGAGGTACGATTTTTCAATCTTGAACTGCAAAAATTAAAACAGAATATTAGAGTAATTCAAGGGTCTATATCACAATGTCTAAATAACCACTGTGTATCAGATATCTTTGTATTTAGAACGTTATTTACAAGAACTATGTGCTACATATGTACTTATATAAAAAAAATCATTGCCCCACACTAGGATTTTCTCCCGTACAACACAGGAGAAATTCCGGGTGCGTTTACAAACATACAAATTCACACACACCCAGACTCAAAACAGCAATTTGTGGATGACACAAAGTGTTGTTCCGCGTGGGAATCGAACCCGCAAAACGTTGCACAGCAGCCAGTTGCTCAGCCACTCACGCCACCTTTTCCGGCGCCTACCTCACCTGCGGCGCCCATCCTGAGGTGTAAACTGGGTGACAATAGGCCCATCTCTCCGGATGCATTCGGCTGACGTGTCCGGCCCAGACTCATACTACTTAAATACTTACTTAGACTTAATGATAACAGGGACTTCAGAGTTCTTGCGCAACGCCATATTTGCTATTTCAGTTGAAACTCCGAGTTCTGAAAAATATTTATTTATTTATGCTTTTTTTGTGAGGAGAAAATCATCAAATGACTACTGATGGCCATGGTGGGACGGGAGGGAGTGTCAGGCCTTTACTGACTAACCCCCTACCCCGTTTCTTCTCCTGCCCTAGGCCGAGGGCGCCTAATTGCGCTTACCCCGCAACCCCGGCTGAACATCAGCCCTATAGGGCCCCGTCTGTGGTGGTCTATTGGCTCTTTGAAGCGCGCGGAACGCAGTCATTCGCAGCGCTTGCCAATGCGTATGAAAGCAAAATAGGATGCAAACCCTAGGATTTTCAGGACACATATAGCTATTTAATTAGCATAAGCTATTTGACAAATAGTTGTAAGTATATGTTACATCATTGGGTAGGTAGTTGTAAGCTCAAAAATATTTAAATAAATGTCTGTTATTTAAGTTTTAAAATATAAATAGATACCGAAGCAATTAATTAATGAAAACTAACCAGCTATACGTAGATCACTGCAAACCGGTTGATTCCTCTGCAAAAGTAACAAAATAATACAAATAAGTTTCTTATTGATATCAGCACTATTATTATAAAAAGGTTTGTATATAGGGGGTAATCTTTGGAACCGCTGGTCGGATTGCCAAAATTCGTTCACTGATAGATAGCTACAATATTCCTGAGTGCTAAAGCACTATCTATATAATCTATACTAATATTAAAAAGAGGTAAAATTTGTAAGTTTGTATGTAGGGGTTAAGTGTGGGAGAGCCATGCTTCGACACGAATGACTCGACCAGAATTAGGTAGTTTCCTAGGTCGAAAATAAATTAATTCGACGTTTGAATACAATAAAAAAATTTTATAATGGACCGGACCATTTTTATATTGACTACATTAATTGTAAGATTCCCACTTACAGGAGGCCTACAGGATTCCCTTCTCTTGCGATGGCGACGTTTTTGTGGAGACGCTACTGCTGGAGTAGGGGGGTGAGAGCTGTTAGAGACAGTTTCATATTTAGGTGTCTTACAAATACATATAAAAATGAGAAAGTTACAATGTTTGGATGTTTGTTACTCAATCACGCCAAAAGGGTTGGACAGATCTGGATGAAAGGACATGGCCAAAAAAGTACATTCCACGTACACAACCATAATTAATACACTGTAAAATAAAAATAGAAATATGAATTATTACGTAGTTTTATTTTATTTATTTTCCTTAATAAATAAATCATTATTATTTATACCCATTCTTTTGTTTTATTTTATAAATAATTAATACGCCTTATGGTTTTTAATAGCAAATCTTATTTCGTGCACTTACGTGCCAGTAATCTGACAAAAGCTTTAGTGAAATCATTTTCGTCTTGTGTGTTGTAATTACGAGTTCTTCATGTGTTTTATTTATTGCAATTTAATGTAACAATATTCACGAATGTAAAGCCCCAAAAATCATTGATGTACATTGAATTCAATAACTATGCAAACGCCCATACAAAAATTGGCCATGTCCTTTGGCACAGGCATTGGATACACTTCGGAATAGGACATAGGCTACTTTTTTCAGTATACCACGCGGGCAAAGCCGCGGTTGGAAGCTAGTTTTATGTGTAAAGTAAATGAAGCATCTGATTTCTTAAATAGAACAATTCTTGTTTAGTGTTAAGAATGTAATGTATAGTTAAAATTCTAAATGCTGTCTGTTCCGTGAAATAAATACGTTGAAAACTCACTCGCAGTCGGGAACAGCGCAGTTGATCTGTCTCAACAACTCCTGGGTGACGTCAGTCGTAGTTCCCATTTCTAAAACATAGAATGACTGATTCCTCTTTATTTTCTCTTTTTTAAAAACGTTGCCCTGCACTTGGATTTTTCCCTGTCGTTGGTGCGTTTACAAACATACAATTTCAAATACACATCACACCCGGAACAACAATTTGTGGATCAATCACACAGAGTTGTTTCGTGCGGGAATAGAATCCGTGACACGATGCACGGCAGCCAGTTGCCCAGCCACCGCACCAACTGTGCAGACAGAATATAATCAATTGGGAGACTACAGCTGGAACAAATACCAGAGTGATACCACGGCCTCACAGAAAACCAGCGTTGTGTTTCGTGTGTGTGAAGAACTTTTCCATTCTTCCCCATCCCCAATCCCTCCTCAATCCCGAAATCTCCAAACCCCTAATCACGAAAAGGTCGGCCACGCATTCGTAACTCCTCTGTTTATTGCGGTTGTACCTACATGGGCGGCGCTGGTTGCTTTCCTCAACTCAAATAAAAATCAAGGCTGCAATTTTCTTGTCTGTCGTGGCTTGTCGTGTTACTTCAGAAATGTATCGATTTCATATATGTTTTAGTTTAATTCATTCGAAATGTTCTTTCTTATCAGAGTAATCAGATAATAAAGAAAATTTTATAATTATGCTTACATGTTATGCCTTTTTAGTCTAATCTATATATATAAAAGAAAGTCGTGTTAGTTACACCACTTATAACTCGAGAACGGCTGAACCGATTTAGCTGAAAATTGGCAGGGAGGTAGTTTAGAGTCAGGAGACGGACATAGGATAGGATAGAGTAGGGTAGGTAGTGTAGGTTAGGTAGAGTAGGATAGGTAGAGTAGGGTAGGTAGTGTAGGTTAGGTAGAGTAGGGTAGGTAGAGTAGGATAGGTAGAGTAGGGTAGGTAGAGTAGGGTAGGTAGAGTAGGGTAGGTAGAGTAGAATTGCTGAGTAGGGTAGGTAGGGTAGGGTAGGTAAAGGAGGGTAGGCAAAGTAGAGTAGGTAGTCAAATGACGGGAGCGACGCCGCGGGTAAGAGCTAGTTAACTTATAAAACAAACTTTTATAAAATTTGGAGTATAATAAAGAAATCAGTTGCAAGTGCATTATTTACCGCGGAACGGAGTGTTTGAGAGAAACTGACACTTTCACACGCTCTACCCAGAGCAAAACAAGGCATATGAAGATTTCCGCCCTAAAAAAATATTTATAGGCAAGTTGGACACAAAAAAATACAATACCTGTGCTACACTTCTGCATCTGACATTGGATAACTGGCTGCACACAATAACAGTTCTAAAACAAAATAGAAATAAAGTTTAAAATGGAAATGGAGTAAAAAAGAAACAATCGTCGCTATATTAAAAAGATTACTGTTTACATTTGCACCACCTAGATGGCGTTGCAGTCGAGTTAGGTCTACATGCTCGATGCTGATCAAAGACCATTTTACACCCGACTTCAGCATTATTAAAGATGCTTGTTCAAGCTTTAAGTGTGGGAGAGCCACGCTTCGGCACGACTGGGTCAGCTCGACGACCTTACAGAACACTGGCGTGAAGCAACATTTTTGTTGTGCTTCACAGTTTGACTGAGATTACGAGAGGCTTAATTCCCCCCCCCCCCCCCCTCCCATCCTCAATTCTTAAATCCCCAAGCCCTACAGCCCCACACAAGGCGCTCTTCGTAGCAACTCCTTTGATATTGCAAGTGTCTATGGGCGGCGCTGATAGCTTACCATCAGGTAATCCGTCTGCTCGTTTGCCGACCTATGCCACAGAAAAGGTTGGCTATTAAAGTGATATAAAATATTCTTACCTCTTCATATATTTTTCTTTCTCCCCTTTCTCCATATAAAGAAGGTATCGTCATGGCCGCTTTGCTGAAAACATAAGTACATTATATAGAATACAAACTAACAAATTATATAAAAAATGCGTGAAACAACCACAGCGTTGTGTTTCGCCGTGTGCGTGAGGTTACCAGAGGCTAAATCCCTCCTCCTACCCCATTCCTTAAATATCCAAAACCCTTATCCCTAAAAGGCCGACAACGCGTAACTCTTTTGGTGTTGCGGGTGTCCATGGGCGGCGCTGATTGCTTACCCTCAGGTAACCCGTTTGCTCGTTTGCCGACCTGTACCATAAGCTCTATATTACCTACCTGAACGATTGTGTCCACTCCAGAAACATTGTCATGTCACAAACAATTTCAATTTCCATTGTAACGAGGATCAACCCTTTAGCCACAAATTAGAAATTGACACAGTAATAATTAGTAATTGTAATCAGAAGACATAGCTATCATTTTGAAGAGCTCTAACATCTATTTACAAAATATAATATGATCGACAAATAAAGAGATATGAGTTTCAATTTTTTTGCAGATATTTTCCCACACTAGGATCTTGACCTGTATCGTGGGTGCGACCCGTTGCACGGCAGCCGGTTGCCCAGCCGCATCAACCGTGCAGTCAATACAGGCTGGACACATTATTTTCCATTTATTTCTCTCAACAGATGGCGTTAGTAGGATATGTTACGTCCAATAAAGAATTGGTTAGCTTCACACCAAAGTTGCGAGAGCAAGAGTAAGAATGAACCGCGACTTGGCCAAGAGAAAGAAAAGAAAAGAAACGGGTTGATTTTAGCCCGTCACGCTCAATTGTGGAAAATAGGCTTCCAGAGAGCGAAGATAAGGCATTCATCATGAATCTATAAGTGCCCACTGCTGAACAAAAGCCTCTTCTTACACGGAGGTTTGAGCTTTAATCACCAGGCTTACATAAAGCCGGTTGATGATTTCAAACATAATCATACTAATATTAGGTACTAGCGGCCCGCTCCCGCTTCGCTCGGGTGCAACTATCTCGCTATCAAAGGGTCACTTTTTCCTAATGTTCCCCTCTACTTTTCTAATATTTTCTTTGATAAAAATCTTCTCCTGACTATAACAAACATAACAAAAAAAGAATTAGCAAAATTGGTCCAGTCGTTGTTGAGTTATGCGCTTACCAACACATTTTGCGATCCATATATAAAGATAATGCTGAAGAATTTGTCAGATTATAATCTTTGGAACTATTGCTTCGAATTGAACAATTGACTTTGTGTTCGTTTGTCCATTTATCGTGGAAAGCTAATGGCTACAAACCATCACTCCACCACCCGTAGGAGCCGAGCAGCAGGTGAAACCGTGCGAGAGTAGCTAGATAGAAAGTAAAAATTAAAAGTCCATGTTTCCTCACGATGTCCTCTTTCACCGTAATATGTCGGTAGTGTTTTCATAATGTTAGAAACGACAGCCTTCAACCTACCTACCTTCTCCTAAAATAAATACTCTTTTGTTTCATACATACAGGGTGTAAAAAGACACCTAACGAAGCCGTTAACTACGCATACTGCAGTTCTAACTAAGTAGCTTTACGCTAAAATTATCACTGGGAAACTACTTTTATTTTTAGGTATCAAAAAAAAATAATAATTTTATAATTATAAACGGGCTTCGTGTCATTGTGTGCGTAGGTTCACAGCTTAGCATTAAAATGCTGTGATAAATACGTAGGTCGACGTTTTACTTCGCAACAACAAAACAATTCTATAAAATAAAAATCCTACTGAGATGCACGATGTTTTTTGTGCGGGTCTGCATTTATTTATTACGTACATTACTGTTCGTAACTTCAAATGCGTAATTTATTTAGAAAAATCGAAAATTCAGGTAATGTTTGTTTGGATAAAAGTTTTGTAATAATATTTAGAATTCGATTGCGCAAAAAAAAAAAAAAATTCAAAAATGCATCTTTGACCTTCAATATCTCGAGAACCCGCGGAGTCCCAGCTATGGTCTTAAAGAAAAAAATGATCCAAATAATGGGTAGAATACGTGGCTTTCGGCTTCGTTAAGTGTCTTTTTACACCGTGTATTCTATTGGTTCTTACCTGGTCTTCTTGGTCTGTTTCTCCTTAACATCAATGGACAGAGTAGAAACGGAACCGTGGAGTCTAGCCAGTTCTATCACTCCATCTCTACTGCCATCTTGTCTCTTCACATGAGGCCTTACTCTATCTCGCCTAGAGGAGATTTTTAGCTAATCATCATCATCATCATCAATAATAGTCCACTAATGGACGGAAAGTCTATGATTGTCTACGCTTTGTAACATAGGCCTTCTCTAAAGAAGAGGGCAAGTCAAAGAAGTCACTTAAAGGCCGGGTTGAGATGGCACTTTCAATTTTTTTTTGCTGCCTAGTCTCTCAGATTTGAAGTCTCTTTATCGGATCCTATGGTTTGTATAATAACTATCGTGAGACATACTAAATTAACTAAAAATCGCGGGTTATTCACGTTTGTAATTCTTCGTCATGAGCAACGTGCGCGGACGCGGCGACGTCGTGCAGCCTACTGAGGCTCTCCGAAGAACCCCTGTGTGGTTCGAAACTAGTAGAGCTTTTCTCAATTTCTCAATTACAAACGTGAGTAACCCGCGATTTTTGGCTCCTATAGTATCCGGAAAGGTGGTTAATGATCTTAGAGTTCCAAGCCGTTTTAGAGCGAGGTTACGCGTGGTCCAATCGGTACCTTCTTCCGTCTCCAATCCCCATATTTGTACTAACTTATAAAAATGAAAAATTTTGGCACGATCTTTGGGTAGCGGAATGACCTTCAAACCATCAAGAAACTTAAACCTTTTAAAAGACCGGTAATGCACCAGTGTCTTCTCTGGTGTCGCAGATGTATAATGGCGGCGACGATTGCTTACCATCAGATAATCACACTGCTCGTTTGCCACCCTTTAAAATATTCAGCTCTTGTCTTCTCCTTACCTTTTGGACTTAGATCTGGTCTTTCTACCTCTACTACCACGACTGGTCTTGATCCTGCGAGCCGTGAAGCACCCCTGGAAGATCCTCTGCGCACAGCCGGAGCAAAATATCACACCCTTGAACACTTCTGCGTTGACAAGGTCTGTCTCACTGCAGACATCTGGAGGAAATGGGAGAATTAGGAAGAAGCGGGGATGTTTTTGTTGCGGTCTTTTTTATCTTTAAATTTAGGGGCTTGTGTTCTAAAGCATACCAGTCCCGTACGAACACATTTAGATACATCTACTAACTATGTCACTAAACAAGGCAATAGCTGTAGAAGAAGTGGAATTTGCTAGAACTGTTCCAAAACTAACCGCATCCTTTTCTTTCGCAATCAATTCCCAGTCATTAGCATATTTGATACACTCTCTGAAACTAAAAAATGTTGCACATCATAAGGACATATTTCACAATTTCTGGAGATTCATTTTGTTTTTCATTCTATCTATCGCATTTCATGCTATCGCCCCTAAGCCATCGATACTTCAGATTCAACTAACCAGAAAACCGGCGTGAAACAACCACAGCGTTGTGTTTCGCCGTGTGTGTGAGATTACCATAGGCCCAATTCCTAAAATCCTTCCCCTACCTATGCTGCGCTTGCTTGTTTCCTGACCTATCACATAAAAAACACCCTGCTCATTTACTTCTTGATCATAGAAGAATACTTACAGCATTTATGGCATTTCTTGTGGTAGCTGTATCCATCACGCATTACCATCCTCTCGTCCCTGCATAAGGGACTTTGACAGTGCTCACAAATCTCGCAACTGCGGCAAGAATGAAGAATATTGAAAATACCGACTTACTCACGTGACTTAACTGAGGAAAGCTGTACTAGATTTAAGTCACAACGGGACTCTTATTCGTAAGTAGCGTGCGCGTCGCGGCCGAGTCGTGCAGACGACTGAGTCGTTTATTTTTAATAAAATAAATATGTCTCACAAAAATTACGAATGTGTTAGAATCGTCTCAAGCAAGCTTTTATGCCTTCAAGGGCTTTTTTGTGAGGGGAAAATCATCATATGACTTCTCCCGCCCAGGGCCGGGCGGGAGGGCGTGTCAGACTCTTACTGACTAAAACCCCCCTGTTCCTTCTCCTGTTCTGGGCCGACGTCGCAGTGCCTCATTGCGCTTACCCCGCAACCCCGGCTGACGCCTTCAAGGGATAAGTCATTCAAAATTGAATGCAGGATTAAATTTAAAGAGGGTAGTGGAGTGAGAAACTATTTCGTTTTTCTTCTTCTCAAAATAACATCTTTTGATTTATTTCGTTGCGGGATCCAAGACAGTTGTCCCAAGATATGATATCTGGGACGCTTTAGACTTCAGTGTTTCGGTGTTTTCATGATTATATCTACTGTAGATCCTGGCTTACTGATGTCGCAATCTTTTGGGAGTAGTGCTGTGCGGTAAGAATTAATGGTAGCGTTATAACTGGGACCTGAGCCCTTCAAGCTTTGACCATTTTTCAACCCCAAATCCTGCTACACGAAACTAAAGTCAAGTCGGAAGTGCTTTACCGCCGTTTCTTAATTTGGAAACCAGAGCGTGTGAAAAGCGTTTTAATTTCTTGAGGTACAGACATAAGGTATGTTTTTTCAATATCTAAGTAATCTAATAATTGAGGTACTTACGCCATTATGAAATTTGCAATTTTTTTAAAACATTTCTACATTTTTCTTTACAAAAATATAGATAAAACTGATAATTTAGTTATTTTTTGGAAGTTTTATTTTTATTTATTTTTTTAATATGAATCACATCACATTTTTTATATTACTTTGACATAACTGTCATGTATTTTTGGAAACGTCAGATGTCAGTTTTCAAAAGCGAATCGTTGACAGTTTTGATTGTGAAGTTCTTTTGAAATAAGTTCGTATATTGCTCTTTTTATGTTATAGGTCGGCAAAGAGCAGACGGATTACCTGATGGTAAGCAATCGGCGTCGCCCATGGACAAAAGCAACATCAGAGGAGTTACAAGTGCGTTGCTAGCCTTTTGGGAATACCCCTTTGCAACCGGGAGTAAAAAAACTCGCATAGATCAGTAAAAACTTGGTTATCGTTTGGAAAGTGTTCAGAGACCCTGGAAAAATACTGAAAAACATCTCACGCAAGCTGGTCTTCAGCAATCAGACCCTCACATACGTGAGGTTCAGGAATAATTTGCAAGTCGCACGATCGTGACTTTATGTAAATAATCAATGATTAAGAACGAATTAATGAAATAAATATTATCAATTAAAATAAAATATAAATATTTCAGTTTTCTTACAACTTTAATCAGTCTTTATTACAAAATAAACTGTATGAGTATTTATAAAATCACGAATAACGTATGAGATCTTCTTAATTTTTTAAATTAGAACAAAAATAAACTATGTTACTTCTTAATAATCAACAAAATCTTAATTTTTAGTCACTACAATCAATGAGATCGACTTAATTATTGTGTACACAAATGATATGTTTTAAAACAATTTTTATCACGAGATAAACATAGATAGACATCGCATTTTTCACACCTAATTTTTGAACGGCTGCTGCAAGTTTCCAATCTACAGGTCCTTGGCGCTTTTATGTCATCGCTGGTTGGAAAATGCTCATATCCATCATATCGTTTCTCTGCCGACGGTCTGATTGCTGGTCTATATATTTTATAGTCTCGACGCGGAACTGTTGACTGATCTTGATCATCTTCACTATCCCTTCGAGCTCTACTTGGTGTAGAAGATAAAGCATCTGCCACATCCAAGCGAAAATCCAGTAAAGGCTTTGTGTCTTTCCTTGCATAATTATTACTGTGGCAGTCGATTCTATACAGCCTCCAAGAGTTTGTTAGCGCGAGGTCAGAAAAATGCGTCAATACTTTTAGGGTTCATTTTTTGGTTTTAATAAATGTTCGATAATACTCCATTTGTTGATCCAGTACATCTACTCCTCCCATGTGTTGGTTATAATTTTTTACTATTATTGGAGCAGTTACGTCGACGTATCGTTTCATAGTTTTATCCCACCTTTTTACGAGAGTGGTTGCACCGGAGCCAGTACAGTTTGATGCGAGTAATACGGATTTATTATCTTTTCACTTTACAATGGTAGTAGCACAAACAAATTGTTGGCTTTCTCCACGATTTGAACATCCGTTTTAAATTTTATTGTAGCTCGGTCAGGGATACGATTTAACATTATTGTCCCTGTAGAATGCAGATTTAACTTGTTCATTTCTTCAATTAAAGGTACTGTGGTGAAATATCTGTCGTGATACACACAGCTACCAGGGGGAATACTTTTAGATAAATGTAGGATTACCGAAGGACCGAGGCCGAGATTCGTATCACCAAACATCGTCCTTGCACCTCTGTATATGTCGAAATCCAACATCAATCCCTCACTAGTTGTCAGGACGAAGTTTTTAAACCCTACAGGCCTAGGTTTGTTTTTCACTACCTGACGTAGTTGACAGCGGCCTGTAAATGGTATCATCTGCTCATCGATTGAGTAAAATCCCGGCACCCTTTCTAATTTATTACAAGCACGTTTAATTTGATTGATCATGGGTTGAACCTTCCATAGCGGATTACCAATTTCAGTTGGAGGTGGAGAATCTGAATCAACTACATGAGTGCATTACGCAGGGTTAAAAACCTGTCCCGGGACATTAAACCGCCGATAATTTCCTACCTAGTACCAGCCCTCCAATACATAGGCAGTCGAGGATAAGGAAGACATCCCATGAGTATTTGTATTGCAATAAGCTTCGCGATCTCACTGCTTGAACTTTTCAATTCACGGCCTGTAGTACGTAAGTAATATAAGTTAGTACAGTGTGATATCCTTTCTATGAACTCGTTGTCTATTTGGTCACGAAAGTACTCGATGGGACGCCTTACCGGTTTTGTAGGCAACGGATGATAGTTGTGCAGTTTATCTACAAATGGAACCTGCTTCCATATTCTTTTCCTAATATTTGGTGTTGATGCCGATCTTTGTCCTCGAGAACGTGATGCTGTCACTGTTGTTCTTTCCTGAATACTGGTGGTTGATCTCGAACGTTCAGAGGATAAATTTACTGACCTTAGTCGATGTAAAGGACGACGAGACGTAGATGATAACGCTGGGCAAGGCGACTGCATTGTTGATGGAGATTCAGTCGTTGTTGGAGGAGGATGTTGCGTCATTAATGAAGCAGAAGGTTGCGGTATCGATGTAGATGGAGGCTGCATCACTGGTGAACATATCAATGGTGATAATTGGTGACTAATTTCTTCGGAATATCACCATCGGAGAGATCTTCGCATGCCAATTGATCAAACAGATTATTTGGTTCAAAATCTAAGTCATCGTCGCTAAAATCTTCAATCTCCGATAGATTTCCGTCCAACAATTGTTCAAATATTGCATCATCCGTAAGTCGAGCCCCTAATACAAAAGAAAAATCAATTCTAATACCAGATAGAATCAAAATAACAAATAAAACACAAAACAACAAAATGTTATAATATCACGTCCTACGACCGATATTGCATGATCGTGCGTGTTTAATTTTGACTATAAATAATTCCGAAACTAATACTTTCATTTGCATTTGCAAAAAACATGAAATAAATATGAATAATACAATAGAACTACTAAAACTTTATCTACTTACGAGCGGAGGCGCCGGGATTAAAAGACGCAGCCATCCCTCATGCGAGTTTCGACGAACTAGCAGGACGAAACGTGTGCACAAAGTGCAAAACTATTTTTTGTATCATTCTTAGATAGTGTCACGATCTATCGACGCCGGTTGCGTCCGCTAAAGTCGTTTACAAATTTGCTTAGAATTTTGTAAAGTCGAAACTCACGATCGTTTTAACGTCAAGCCTACCAAGGTATTCAAATTATAATTTTCCGCGTTAATACCCGCGTAAATATAATGTCGTTTTAACTCGGTTGGAAAGGGATAAGGGTTTCGAAGATTTAGGGATTGGGGAGGGGGAAAAAAGATTGCACCTCCGGTTACGTATGTAGCGACTGCATTTTTGCCGCATTGACTGCAACTGGCTGCAGTTCAACATGTCGTGGGAATTCTAGCACGGGACACGGAATATTAATTGGATTCCAGATTTGAAAATTTCAGTGTTGCAACGTTATGACAAGTACTACGAGTAAATAGTGACCTGCGAAATTATTCGATATGAAAATGGAATATTACCGAATCGATTCCTCTCGTTTATAAATTTACTCTCGTAAACTAAGTTTACCAGGAAATTAAATATATTATTTCTGAACCGATAATTTAGTTTGGACAATTAATTAACGATTTTGCGACGACTTTTCATTTATAATTGTGTGTGAAAAATAAAAAATGTGATCATGAAAACAGATAGATGTATTATGGTCAAAATTTATTTTATAAATTGTCACCGTCGTCGCTATCGCTTTCTGTAACATTTATTATGAATTGTGTCTGTGATATTTATTGTCAATTAACATATTATCTAGCTTACTCATTTTTTCCTCTTCTTTGACAACATGGGATACGCATTTCGACCATTCGGTAGCCGTAATTTTTTGAATGCCTACCTGAAACTGATTCACTGATTGTTTATCGACTTTTGTGTTCATCACTACACTGTTATATGTGGTATCATCATTTCACAAAATGACAGTAGCTAACGTCAACTCTGGAATCGAATTAAAATTCTGACTATAAGTGTGGGGAATGCATTTTCAATGAAACAAGAAATTTTTTCACAACTTTATTCAGATATACATAATAAATATATTTTACACAAAAATAGAACCATTTTCCAGCACCGTTTTCAATTTGAATTCAAATAAAGAGTTCTTAATTTGTAATTATAACTTACAATAGTCAATTTTAATATATATATTTTCATACATATGTTTTGTAATATAATAATATAAAATACATATTTGTATATGAAGGATAAAAAAAATAATTCAAATTACAAAAATATGTAAAGTTAATCAATTAATTCGGTATGCACTCGTAGGTAAGAAAATAAAGATGGATTACTACAGAGCCAGTAGCTATATACCCTTAATTATATTATAGTGTTGAGACTCTTGTCAGCCGGTATTTTTATGTGATAGGTCGGCAAACGAGCTGACGGATTACCTGATGGTAAGCAATCAGCGCCGCCCATGGCAACCCGCAATAACAGAGGATATACGAGTGCGTTGCTCTTACAGACTAAAAACCCCGCCGTTTCTTTTTCTGTTCTGGGCCAAGGCCACGGTTACCCCGCAACCCCGGCTAAACATCAGCCCTATAGGGCTCCGTCTGTGGTGGTCTAAGTGAATAGTAACTATCATGAGACACAAAATTTATTGAAACGCTGCTCATGAATAAGAGTCCCGCTGTGTCTTGAAAACAGTAGAGCTTTTCTCAGTTATTTCAAGTGAGTAAATCGTTATTTCGAATTTTAGAATATTATTATAGTCTGTCAGTCAGTTTGTTAGTTAAGCTAGGTGCTCTCAAACTACACAACGGATTTTGATGCTGTTTTTTAATAGATAGAGTGTTTGAAGAGGAAAGTTTATATCTATACTATAATATTATAAAGAGGTAAAATTTGTAAGTTTGTATGTAGGGGATAATATTTGAAACAGCTGGTCGGATTGCCAAAATTCTTTCACTTATTGATTGCTACAATGTTCCTGAGCGCTATAGGCTATAAAACATCACGTTACGATTAAATGGAGCGAGTAGCTAGTGTATAATAACATCCATTAATTAGTGGAGAAATTTAGTATCAGCGTTGCACCAAGCCGGGGCGGATCGCTAGTTTTAGAAAAATGGTTACTGTCTCAATTCTAAATCAATCTTCATTTTCCATACCTACATACCACTGACTGCAAAAATACAAAAATAAAATAAAAGATTTAAAAACTACAATTAAAAAAATAAAAATAAAATCCTATTTTTAATTTCATATTAAAATTAAGTTTTGCATTTACGCATACTGGCCGTAAAAATGCGTGTTTTATAATATTACTTAAAAAAAGATTAAGTACTGGGTTTTTTTTATTTTAATAATATAAGTATCTACTTAAAACTAAAAGTTTTAAAAATATTGTTAATGTGTAAATATATAAAGCGATACTAAATAACTTTTAAACTTTCACGTTTCATATTTACAATATATAATTACGCGGGTATTAATGCGAAATAATTAAGTACAAGTGTGTACTTAGATGAAAATTCATCGCCCGAATCCAAGGATGAAGGAGCTGTGACATCGCATCTTCAGTCTGCTTTTTTTTTGTGAGGGGAAAATCATTAAATGACTTCTCCCGCCCAGGGCAGGGCGGGAAGGAATGTCAGACTCTTACTGACTAAAAACCCCCCTGGTTCCTTCTCCTGCTCTGGGCCGAGGTCGCGGTGCCTCATTGCGCTTACCCCGCAACCCCGGTTGATCTTCAGTCTGCTTGCGACCACGACCTGGCAAGGTCGAAACGTCAAGCCTTCCAAGGTATTCAAATAATAACTTTTCGCATTAATACCCGCGTAATTATATGTTGTAAATAAAAAGAGACTGATTACATTATCAGCCTATAAGTGCCCAATTTTGCTATGATTATAAAACAAAATTACAAATAAATATTAATAGATTGTAAGTTATTGTTTTTGAGATCAAATTCACATAACAAATAGAAAGGAATACCAATTGAGATCACATTTACAAAAAATCAGGATAATGTACAAAAAACCATTAATAAAATTCAAGAATTGAGATAATTTAAAAAAAAGAGGAATTTTCGTTTACGAAAAAAAATCACAGGATATTTATGAGTTATTAAAAAACTAAGCTTTTTTTTAACTACTACCAAAAAGTATTGATATATTTTTTACTTAACTTATTTTTAATACTAAATAATTTCTGAAATACTGGCCCCGAATTCTATTGCTTATTTGAATTAAAAAAAAACTTAAAACTAAAATATTATAAACTAAAAATAAAAATAATGAAATCTTAATTAGTAAATAAGTACATAAACATTTGAAACAAAACAAATTATTTAAAAATAATAATAGGAAATTCTTTTTTTATTATAATTACTATCTAATATTGCCACTACTGCCCTGTAAACTTCTAAACCAATGGGGGAATTTTCATTCTCAATAGATGGCGCTTCTTTGAACTGGTTTCTTGTCCAATCACAGTAACAGTCAAAAATATAACAGCCAATACTAGTCAAAATCTTATTGGTCGAAACATACGTGTTTGACAACAACGCCATCTAGTAAGCGAAAAATGTACTACCCCCAATAAATGTAAAATTTAATTACTTAAATATTCCGGAACTTTTTTGAACACAATATTAATTAAAAAAACCATAAACCGTTTACCTAGAATTATATTAAATATATTTAAAATCACATCGTGACGAGTAGGTACTGAAAAATAAATTGTAATATCGTTATGAGCTTATATTCACATGTAAACAGCAGCTCATGTAGTGTAGATGTCCAGTCAACAAGGATGTAGCGAGGTTGACTGTCCAGGCGACACACGTACTTAGGTATCGTCATGAGCTAATGTTCACATGTAAACAGCAGCTCATGTAGTGTAGATGTCCAGTCAACAAGGATGTAGCGAGGTTGACTGTCCAGGCGACACACGTACTTAGGTATCGTCATGAGCTAATGTTCACATGTAAACAGAGGCTCATGTAGTGTAGATTTTAATGAGCGAAATATTATCACTAGTCCTATGTAGATTCTAATCATATGTAAAAAAAAACTTATAATAATAAATGTATTTATATTACTGGCCTTAATTGTTAAAGTATGATGACACTTATTGTCGTTAAAATAATGGATGTATTTGCTTGTCTCCGTATAGTCATTTATTATAAGATGCATCAATTCTGTATTTTTTGAGAGAGCTTCTGAACCACGGTCGACCCGATCTCTTTCGAAACTGGCGTGAAAGTACAGATCTAGAAAACTCTATTTTGGGCCCAAGGACTCGCTAACTACAATAGGCGATACATATCTATGAATATAATGAAAATATTGGGTATTTTTTTAATTAATAAATAAATCCAGAACCTTTATAAATAAAATTTGCTGACTTAGGTTCCAAATTGCTTTAGCCTAGGTCCCCACAATATGTAGTTTTAACGTTGCTCCTCTCCCACTAAGATATTTTCCTGTGTCATGAGTGCGTTGACAAACATAAAATTTCACATACCTACACTTCACACCCAGACCAGGATCAACAATTTGTGGATCACACAAAGAGTTGTTCCGTGCGGGAATTCCACATACGTTGTACGGTAGCCGGTTGCCTGACCACTACATCAACTGTGCAGTCAAATATCGTATGTAATGACTATGACGGACGCTATTTCCACAGCATCAGATCAAATTTGTATCAGACGTAGTTAGTTAGACGCTCTGTCCGTTAGATGGCGTTATTTTCAAATTTTTATAGCGAACTGAAACTAGATTTATCTGGATTGAACTGGATTAAGAGAAATTGAAATTATTGGTTTTTGTCTGATTATAGGTGAGACCGATACACATTTTCAATTAAATATAGAAATAAGAAAACGTTGAAGGAAGTCTGTTAACACTGGTTAACACAGTTTAAATATAACTCATCAAAAAGTTTGACCGAGCTTTAAAAATACCTCTTATCAATTTTTTTTCATATAAGTACATTAATTATATTGTTCGGTGTTGTGACTTACACCAGGTTTCTGAAAGGCTTGTCAACGCTAACATTAACTAATCTCCTGTTAAATCTCTTGTCAAGTCATCTAATTGGTTGTTGATAATTCAGTCAACCAATCAGATGACTTGACAAGAGATTAAATTGATTTTAACATTGATCGGCCTTTTGGAAACCGGGCGTTAATGTCCTTTTGGAGAGCATTACTTCTTGAAAATTATTTACAAAAAAATACGTAAGTACCTATATTTATAATTAATAAAACGATAAGATGTTTTCCATATGTTTTTGCATTGAGATGTCCCAATATTTAATTAATTTTTGACTTCTTCAAGATTTTGTAAAAGAAGCACCTATAATTCAATGACTAGCATGACAAAGACAAACAAATATCAACCTTAGCACCCAAACTTTAAACTCTAAATTACCTTAAACTATGTGCACTTAGAATAAAAAATATATTAAAATATATTGTCATATCATTTTGAGCAAAAAGATCACACAAATAATGCCCTTAAATTATAATTGTTATTTTTAATAACAATTGTAGCCTTTAAACGAATGTCTACTCTATTTAGTAGGTCTTAAAGTCGATTTCACAATACTTGGTGTATTCGAAATCTTGTGTCTAAGTTTTAGTGTAAATTAAACTTTATCTGTGGGTGATAAAGTTATTTTTTGTTATAATTATGGGAAGTCTTCTTTTTAATTTAATATTTAATAGTAAATATTTCTGCGAATTTTTTTCTTTAGATCTGGAATTCAAAATGAACCTTTATTGCGTTGAGTTTAAGGTCGATTTACAAAAAACTAAATCGCACATCAGAATCGGCCTCCATCACATGAACCTATATTTTTTTAGTTAATCGATAATGAACTCTGATTTAAAAAAAATATGAAATTCTAGTATTAGAACAATACAGTTCACTTTTGCGTAGCAGAAAATAACAGAAACGACCTCAGATAATGATTTTTGCCAAACCAAACTTAACTTTAACATCATACAAACAAGGTTCATTTTTAAATAACAATTTGGAAGACATAAGAATCAAAATTAATACTTGTGCCAAACGAAAATGAACTCTATTGAAACTAAAATTAACTTTCATTTCAAATTCAACAAAAATGAACTCTATCACCCTTACTTTTACGATCAATGTCTCCTCATATGTAATCCAAGGTGGTCAGACCTGGCGAAAGATCGTCTGCACAGCGGACAGGTGAAAGGTCGATGACCCGTGTGTTTGCGAGTGTGTCTGGTCAACTCGTCAGATCTGGCGAAACGCCACTCACAGCCTGCCCAGGCACAGGAGTATGGCTTTTCACCTGGAAAGAAAATATATAAGAAATACAGTGTGTCAGGTTAAACGAGTTTTTTACACGACTGCCCAAAAAAGGAGTATCACCGTTTTGGGGATTAGGGTTTCGGAGATTTAGGAACTGATGAGGGGAGGAAGAATTGCGCGTTCGTCAATCTCAATCACACTGCGAAATACAATGTTGTGGTTGTTTCACGCCGGTTTTCTGTAAGGCCGTGGTATGACTCCGGTCGAGCCGACCCTTTCGTGCCGAAGCTTGGCTCACCCACACTTACCCTCCAGAATAATTTAAAATGCATTGTAGGCTTTAAGAAACTAGGAATTTGAAGGACGAAAGAGTCCAGAAATCACACAATGGCTTCAGAAAAAGAAAATAGGCAGAAAACTCACCAGTATGTGTTCTTTTATGGGCTTTCAGATGAGAACTCTTCGTGTAAACCTTATGACACCCAGCGACATCACACTTATGCAGCCGTCTCCTGTTGCCATCATCATGATTATTATTGACAAACTCCTCGCTCTTCTTTAGGTCAATTTTGTTCCTCTGTTGGATGTGGTGTAGGGAGTCTGAGAGGGCATTTTGGAGTGCTGTGTTTAGAATGAAGGATTTGATTTCCGCGTCGGTGGTTGATTTGTGAGGGGGTAAGATTGGGATCATTGGTAGGTATGGTTTTGTCAGTTCTAACGCTAAATGTGATGTCTGCGTGTGGGTTGTTGGTTTTAACCTGAAACAGAAGAGAAGTAATGTTAGATTTAATGACTAGACTAGCTTCTTCCCGCGGCTTAACAGCAGCCTATGTGTTAATCCAGGAAATCACAAATGTACAGTCAGTGGTCAAAAATGCAATTACACTCTACCAATTTTGAAATGACTAAAATGTCTTTGTATTAAAAGTTCAATGGTTCACAGCTAGTTTATTCAAAAATTTAGATTCTATGCCATAAATTAAAGCAGTACTCAACCATTGACTCTATTCTACAAAGATAATTTGGTCATTTTAAAATTGGTAGAGTGTAATTGTATTTTTGACCCCTGACTGTACATAGCAAATAGGTCAACATCAACCAAATAGATCCAGCCGTTTTTGCGCCAAAAAATAACAAACACACATCCATATATATTGATAAAAATATTAGCAGGTAAGTCAGAAAAGTAGGACTTTTTTTTTATTTTTTTATTTTAATAGGCACACAAAACAGGATACAATCAATAACATTACAGAATATCTATAAAATAAGTAAAACAGATCAAGACCGCATCCCTACACATGTGTACACTGCATGATTATTAGGCCATTATATTATGCAGGAAGTTTTATATATAAAATATTTAATAACTTAATTAAATTAATTGATATTTGAATTAGATTGATTGATTAATTTAATATTGTAACATTGAGTTATTAATTAATTAAATATAATTCATTATAAATACTATTATAAATTTAATTTAATATATACACATGCAGATTACAATTAGAATTCCAATTTTGACATAATTCGACCTATTATATATTTGAATTTAAAAAATCTATGATCAAATATATCTAATTCTTTGCTATGTTCGTGAAGTAGCTCGTTGTAAAGACGATTTTGATAATAGTGACGATCACGGAACGCCGCGGACAGGCCTTTGGCTAGATGAACTGACGACATCATCTGTCGCGACAGCTGAGCTGATGATTATTTTTTATGTCAGGGCCAAATCATAAAATGACTCCTCCCGTCAAGGATGAGGAGAGTGTCAGACTTTTACTGACTAATTAAATAGGACTAGGACAAATTAAAATATATATTTTTTTTGTATTCTATAATCCGCTGTAGTATCAATAAGTCTGAAATTAGGTTGAGGGTACAATAGTACAATTATAACTAGAAAAAGAGTGTCGTGGTGGCCCGGAGGTTAAGGAGCCCGCTTCTCATGCATGAGGGGGGTTCGAAACCTGGCAAGTACCGTTCTATGATTAGTTCTATGATTATTTAGACACTACTGACATACGGTGAAGGTAAACATCGTGAGGAAACCTGGACCTATAATTTCTAATTGTAAGTTTAAAATCGCCAACCCGCATTGAGCAAGCGTGGTGATTAATGCTTACCGCTTCTCCGTATGAGAAGAGGCCTTTGCTCAGTAGTGGGCACTTATAGGGTGATGATGGAACTAGAAAAATGGATGGAAAGAGTAGAAGTCCAAACAATTTTATGTATGAAAAGACTGTCTTTTAAATTTTCTACTACAAATTTTAGACTCGCAAATATTCGGAAGATAAGTGGTAATTTGAAAAGCCAAAAGTTGAACTCACTTGTTCACGAGTTGTTTAGGTCTCCGCGCGCTTCTGAGATCAGGACCCATTTTGATTTTAGGTAATTGGTGACTTGAGCTGAAATAAAGTAAACAGACACAATTAGAATTGAATATCCTGTATTTCTAAGTATATGGTAAACTAACACTCGCTGCTCGGCTCCATTCGATTGTAGCGTGATGTTTTATAGCCTATAGCACTCAAGAACATTGTAGTTATTTATAAGTGAAAGAATTTGGGGAATCCAACCAGCGGTTCCAAAGATTACCCCCTACATACAAACTTACAAATTTTACCTCTTGATAATATTAGTATAGACAAGAAACTTTGCATCATATAATAAATGTAAAACCTCAATCTATACTAATATTATAGAAGTAAATTTTGTAAGTTTGTATGTAGGGGGTAATCTTTGGAACCGCTGGTCGTATTGCCAAAATTCTTTCACTGATAAATAGCTACAATGTTCCTGAGTGCTATAGCCTATAAAACATCACGCTACGATTAAATGGCGCCAAGCACCGGGGGAAACCGCGCGAGAGTAGCTAGGTCTAAATATGGACATGTTTCCAAAGGGCTTGTCGAAATTGATCAAAGGATAGAACGCACCGGTTGCAATTGTGTTTTTTTTTTGGAGTACCTAGAGTAAAATCATCCAATTTGTTCCCTCGCTCAGGGTGAGGCGAGAGGAAGTTACTTACAGTGCGGCCGGCGTATCTTGGCGAGTCTGAAGTTAGCCGTTTGTCTGCCCAATGGATCTTTTAGGAACAAAATTGTGTACTGCGCAGCTAATCGGCTAACTTCAGACTCGCCAAGATCGGCCGCACTTTACTTACTAAATGCCACCCTGATCCTTCTCCTGCTTCAGGATGAGGTCGCGGTTACTATCTCAGGCCCAACTGAGTGGTTTTTTTTTTTTTTTTTGTGAGGGGAAAATCATCAAATGACTTCTCCCGCCCAGGGCCGGGCAGGAGGGAGTGTCAGACTCTTACTGACTAAAAACCCCCCTGTTCCTTCTCCTGCTCTGTGCCGAGGTCGCGGTACCTCATTGCGCTTACCCCGCAACCCCGGCTGACCAACTGAGTGGTTACAAGTACAAATTGGAATAAGGGGTCTTGTTTTAACGGGGTGTGTCGGGTTGTGTCGTGTGGCCCGGAGGATAAGGCGCTCGCTTCTCATGTATGAGGGTGCGGTTTCGAAACCTGGCAAGTACAATTGTGACTTTTTCCAAATCATATGTACTTTCTATGATTATATAGACACCACTGACATACGGTGAAGGAAAACATCGTGAGGAAACCTGGACTTATAATTTCTAATTATAAGTTTGAAATCGCCAATCGGCCTTGAGCAAGCGTGGTGGTAAATGCTCAAATCTTCTCCGTGTGAGAAGAGGCCTTGGCTCAGCAGTGGGCACTTATAGGCTGATGCTGATGATGATGATGTTTTAACGGAGTAAAAACATGAGTGCTCACCTAAGGTGTGCCATCGTTTCTTCTACTGCTCTGGTCCGGAACCAAGGCACATTATTGTGCTTTGCACACCCTGGCTGAACATGAGCCTTATTGAACCCTATATGAGTTGGACAAGTAGCTCATGTAAAGGGACGCGCCGTACGTTCGAGTTTGGTTGTAGTTGGAAAACGAGCTACCCTTGCTCGCTTCTGGCCATCCTGGATGTCTTCAAGGTCGGAGTGATTAGAATTCTTATGGGCAGACTTGCTCCATCCTCGGTCGCACCATCGCTTACCACCAGGCGTGATAGCGACCAAATGCCTGCTTATCTTTCTTTATATGTATATAAAAATGGATCGCAAAATGTGTTGGTAAGCGCATAACTCAACAACGGCTGGACTAATTTGGCGAATTCTTTTTTTATTGTATTTGTTATTGTCAAGAGAAGGTTTTTATCAAAGAAAATATTAGAAAAGTAGAGGGGCAGATTAGGAAAATGTGACCCTTTGATAGAGAGATAGTTGGACCCGTGGGAAGCGGGGGCGGGCCGCTAGTTACTAAATAAAAAAGGGTGGGAGAGCCAAGCTTCGGTATTTACTGGTCGAACGGAGTGATACCACGGCCTCACAGAAAACCAGCTTGAAACCACCACAGCGTTGTGTTTCGCCGTGTGAGTGAAGTTTCAGAGGCCCAATCTCTCCCTCTCCCCCCATCCCTTCCCAGTCTTTATATATCCAAAATCCTTATCCCTAAAAGGCCGGTAACGTACTCGTAACTCCTTTGGTATTGCGATTGTCCATGGGAGGCGCTGATTGCTTACCATCGGGTAACCCGTCTGCTCGTTTGCCGACCAAAACGATAAAAAAATCTGCTCACTTGAATATCAGATCTGTGGCTGAGCTGTCATCTTCCCTGATGATCTTGGATGACGTAGGGACACCAACTGGAAAAAATATTAAATTTGGTATCAATTGTTTTTTTTTTTAGTATTGACATCTTAACTAATCTTACTATTTTAATTCTTACTAATATTATAAATGCGAAAGTTACGGTGTTTGCATGTTTGTTACTCAACCACGCCAAAACGGCTGGACGGATCTGGATGAAATTTGGCACAGGCATAAAATACACTCCGGAATAGGATATAGGATACTTTTTATCAACATATCACGCAGGAGAAGCTGCGGGTGGAAGCTAGTATGATATAATTATAGTTTATAGGTATGTAGATATTATAATTTGACTTTAAAAAACCGGACCTCTGGGTCTGTTTCGGTATTTTTTCTCAGTGTAATCAGATAGAAGCCTAGCTTTACTGACGAACAGACTGACAGACTACTATTCTATTTTGACGTTACAAAAGTACCTACTTATTTATGGTTTAGTTGGAATAAATGATTTTGATTTGATTTGAGGAAATGCCGGCTATACGTATATAGTTTTTTTTTCATAATTTTGACAAGTAAAAGTGCTTTTTACTGTTGTTTCTCTAACTAAACGTTATCATCCGAGTTTTTGGTATAAGTTTGTTTCACTTGAATGCAATCGAAAAGTTTAAATGACCAGCTCCAGCAAAAAACAAAAAAAAAATCAGCAACAAACAGGCAATATTAATTTCAAATCCAAAAATCCGTATCGGGCTACGCTCAGTATAAGGTTCCGTAGTTTCCCACCTGTCACACTAAATATACCCACTTAAGATTCATTGTAAGGTAGTTTCCTAGGACAAAAATAATTAGGTCAATACCATACAATATAGAAAAGTAACTAAACTTTTATTCATCGATCAATCGCTACACTAAATTTTAGCTAATTTTTAAGAAATAAGTAAGCTATTTGACTCTATAATACTATGACGTCATAACTCAGTGTTTCATACAAATTTTATAGAAAAGTATAATTTTTGACATTTGGATAAAAGTTTTGAATTTGACTAGTTGGAAACTACCGTATTCAGCGAAAGTAGCTATAGTAAAGCGCCATCTCTTGGAGAGTTGGGTTACTAATGTAAACAAACTAGACGGGTGATGTATGTTAAGTTTTTGATGGTAATTTTGGATTGCGTTAACTGATTTGAATAGTCCAAAATATTTTTACGCCGACACTATTTATCCAAACAATCCTACAGGACGCTGGCTTATCGAGAGACCTGACCTTCCAAATACCAGGCCGGCGAAACAGTTGGCGGAAAACTAGTAAATTGCGTAAAATGGGCTCGGCTTAAGCAGTGCGCAACTACATACAACTACTTAGGTACAAAACATCTAACATACATTATCGAAACCTTTTTTTCAATGAAAACGTTAGCAATCAAAACGCTTAAGTTTTTATATCGGCAGCGATTGATGCGTAAACGCATGTACAATATGCAGACAAATACAGAAGTACTGATTGACTTTTATTCTTTTTTTTAACCTTGACCTACACTAGGATCTTCTCCTGTGTCGTGGATGTGGTTACAAACATACAATTTCACATACACATGACGACCAGACCCGGAACAACAATTTGTGGATCACACAAATAGTTGTTCCGTGCGAGAATCGAACCCGCGACAGGTTGCTCAGCAGTCAACGTATTGAATACGTTTGTAAACCTTATTTCAAGGGTAGGGCGGTTTCTTTTTTAAAAAGAGAAAAACATCCAATGTCCATCTCCACCCTGCGCGGGGCGAGGGGCAGAATCAGACCTTTTATATGGTATAGGTCGGCAAACGTACACACGGATTACCTAATGGTAAGCAATCGGCGCTGAACATTTCAATGTAAGGCCGCTATCTCACTAGGCATTTTACTAGCGTTGACATCAACGTTATTTTTGCGCAGCGTCTACACAACGCTGACGCGTCGTTAACGCCGCGTCGTCGCCAGACAAGCTTAACGTCCGTGGGATAGCGGCCTGCAATGTACAAGAAATGTAGGTAGCGTCTGAGATATCATTGTGAAAATCGTAGTGGTTTTTTTAATTTAATAGATCGGCAAACGAACAGACGAATAACCTGATGGTAAGTAGTCAGCGCCGCCCATGGACACCCGCAACAGAGGAGTTACGAGTGCGTTGCCGATGTTTTAGGGAAGAGGGATTTGGAGATTTAGGTATTGAGGAGGGATTGGGGGTGGGGAAGGATTGGGTCTCCGGTACCCTCTCTCACACGGAAAAACACAACGCTGTGGATCTTTCACGCCAATGTTTAGTGAGGCCGCGTTATCGCTCCAGTCGAGCCGACACATTCACGCCAAAGCATTACTCTTCACATTAAAAAAAATATTTACAGGATCAGTGTTTACTTTCCTACCGTTTAGAGTTCTTATTGTTCTTCTGATATTTTCTGTCAAGTGGTTAAGTTTTTTACAAAGGTGCAATTTACCAGCGCCGGCGCACCGCGACAAAGGGAACTGACTTTTTATTAGTACATACCGTTTAAAATGGCTTGCTGTTTGGGTTAGGGGTTTGAGGGACAAGTTTTAATTTTAATGATAAAGGAAAAATAAATATAATACTACCAAAATCATCATCACATCATCAGCTAAAAGCGCGCGCAGTCAGGCACCGCGGCCTCGGTCTAGAGCAGGAGAAGGAACGGGGGGTTGTTTAATCAGTAAGAGTCTCACACTCCCGACCCTGGGCGGAAGAAGTCATATGATGATTTTCGGTTCAGAAAAAAAATCATCAGCTTATAAAAGCCCACTGCTGAGCAACCTTTCCCATGATGATTTATCCATTAAATAAAAACAATAATAATTTTTTGAAAATTTGTTAGAAAATATCAAGTGATGTGTAGGTACTTATCACCCACGGAATAGAAAATATAGGTTCTGTGGTATCACCAAACAAAACCAATGAATGAATTATGTTTTTTTTTCTTTTCATTTTTATTGAAAAAGTATAAAAAAATATTATTGGAACAGAGGAAAAATCCCATGCCTACTCAAAATGCCATGTCTTTTCATCGAAGGAGTACTTATATTAATGTTATTTAAAACTAATATTTTATCATTGTCATTATTAGTCAGTGCCATAAAAGACGGGCCTATACTGGCGCACAATACTTGACTCAAGGTATCATTGAAACACTCGCAAATACCTAAGGAACTCCAAAAATCTAGCTCCCATCCTAAATCCCAAATCCTCAAGTTGCAAACCCCTGAAAAGGCAGGCAGCGAACTCCTCAAGTTGCAGGTGTTCAAAAATACAAAAAATATATATATAATATATATTTACCGCCTATAAAGAAGAAAAAATAGTTCGATCCGATAATCAAACCCGCAACATCTAGCTCAGCAGTAGGACAACATTTGCGATGACTCGACTAACGTTGGAGTAAGATACTTTTATAAAAAAATTAATTTTCATTTTGCAAAGTGACAACCCTAAACAATGAGCACAGACAAGAAAAAATGTCAATAAGGCGGGAAATCTCCAGCCAATCGTTGTCTCTGGTATGGGCTAATCCGCATTCGATGTGATTGATGCATATCTTGTATTTTTTATCCGTTTTTTGTTTAAAATAGTTCACTAAAGTGAATGGGTATTTTTATTTAGGCATCTATACAAGCCACATGCTCCGGCTTTGCACGTTTGCGATGCTGATACTAAGTTGCTGTACTATTTACTGAATGTTATTATGCACTAGCTCCACTCGCGCGGTTTCACCCGCTGCTCGGTTCCATTTAATCGTAGCGTGATGTTTTATAGCCTATAGCACTCAGGAACATTGTAGCTATCTATCAGTGAAGGATTGGGCCTCCGGTAACCTCATTCGCACGATGAAACACAATGCTGTGGTTGTTTCACGCCGGTTTTCTGTGAGGCCGTGGTATCACTCCGGTCGAGCCGACCCATTCGTGTATTAAGGTATATACAATAGGTATATTTTAAGCTTTATAATACACAAAATGTCCAACAAAACTTTTGCACACAATTTGTCTACTGGATCAAATTTGTTAATTCATTATTTATTCTCTTAAACTTCTTACCTTTACAAATTTTAAAAAAACCCCGACACAACATACATAAGCTACATTTCAAAAGTAAAAATTTTGTAATGTACACGTAGCGCTTTCATTTCAGACCTCACTGGAGCATATTTGTAGACATTCGGTAATTCTTCCCCACTTTCACCCCCCACTAATTTTAAACGGCTCAAATGATTATCAAACATCTTTGTTAGGTAAAAAAACTGAATTGAAATCGTTTCATCCCTGAGCTATGATGCAACAGGCACACAGATAGACACGTCAAACATATTAAAATCGTTGTTTTTGTGACGTACAAGTCATAACCTTTCATTTGATACCCCACTTGAGCATATTTGCAGACATTCGGTTTTTCTTTCCCTCTTTAACCCCCCATAACTTTTAAAAGGCTCAATCGGTTTTCATCAAACATGTCTAAGAACACTCGCCCGTAAAACACCTGTAATAAAAAAAAAAAAAACTAAATTGAAATCGGTTCATTCGTTCAGGAGCTATGATGCTACAGACAGACAGACAGACACGTCAAACTTATAACACCCCTCTTTTTGCGTCGGGTGTTAAAAAGTAGCAGAAAATATATCATATAGTCTTTCCTATTCCATCTTATCTCTATCATCATTCCTTTCCTTTCACTCTTCATCGTTCACACATTCCTTCCTGCTCATTCATACGTTCCCTTTTACTCAGAATTGACTCCACATTAGTTTAGATAGAACCTTTCTACATTTATTTAAAGATATTTCGCAGCTGCAGCATTAACTGCTTCGTTCGCGATACCATTAATTCTGACTTTCCCTACCATACATGTTCACTGTCGTTACGGGGTAAGCAGTTATCTATAGGCTCTATAGTCGTGATCAATTTGGAGTGGAATAGATAAGAAGTAGGAATTTCGTAATTTAGTAAAAATCTTTGCTAGTCATGTGTTGCATTTGATGTCTTCAATTTAGAAAACACCGACCGCAAA